CCTCCTGCCAATCAAGCGTTAAATTGCTTCTCCTCGACCAGTCAGCAGGAGCCCCCGGGCCTTACGCGTCCAATCCATTTTAGGTTCGGGTCTTCAACCAACCAATCAGTTCTCGGGTCAAGCCTCCCTTGAGACCCCGCCCCCACCTCTCCTACCCAACACTCAGCTCGCGGGGCGGACTCTGGCTAGAAGTGCGCGGGACAGCTGCTGCTCTTTTGTCTCTGGTCACTGTCCCAGGACCTTTGCCCCGAGGCGCAGGGCCAACTCCCAGCACTGGGACTCCCCAACCCCAGGCAGGGCTGAAAGCCCTGGGCAGGGGCTCCCTCCAGCTGCACGGAAATTTTTTGGCTGGACTCAGCTACAGATAAATGTACCCGATACCGGTCCGAAAGAAGGGACAGGCTGTTAGGGACAGTGCTGTCCAGCCACAGTGGTCTGTAATGACAGTGAACCTAGCTCCAAATCTTGCTCTACCATTTCCCAGCTCTGTGACTTTGGCCATGTGTCTCCACCTCTCTGTTTCCTCCTGGGGATAACAATTCGTACTTCAGAGTTGTTAAAGAACAGGACTTGACATATAGTAAGAGCTGGGGAATGTGAGTGATTATTATTACTCAGGATGCAATAAAATTTGTATTTTAAGGCAGGACAGGAAAAAGTAAACAACAATTCTTTGTTTGGACCTCTTCTCTCCCTCTCTCCCTAATCTGTGTAACACATTAACCAGAGATCCTCAAAGATGGGGAGATAGGAACTCCTGCTCCACAGTAAAGATCTCTTTTCTTTTCTTTTTCTAACATTTTATTTCTTTTTTTCCCCCATTTTTTTTAAATTGAAAGATAATGCTTTACAATGTTGTGTTAGTTTTCTCCTGTACGACGAAGTGAATCAGCCATGCATGTGTGCTCAGTTGTGACCGACTCTGTAACACCCTGGACTGTAACCCACCAGGCTCCTCTGTCCCTGGGATTTCCCAGGCAAGAATGGGTTATCATTTCCTTCTCCATGTTTTTTTTTTTTTCCTTTCTTTTTTCTAATGTTGACAATGTATCTTCTTATAAGAACAGCGTTCTTTCCCAGCTCTGTAGGGGTCATGATGATCTGCTGCTCACTCTGTACTTGCTTACCCGGACTATGTATCCTGAAGTTGATGTAAATATCAGTATGTCATTTTGATCTGTGATCTTTTGTCTCAAGGCGGTCCAGAGGTTAAAAAGCCATGCCTCCACTGTAGAGGGCGTGGTTTCAATCTATGGTCAGGGAATCAGTGACGCAGCAGGCATGCATGCATAAATGAAATACATATGACCGTGCCTACTAACAGGTGGAACCGTTCTCAGAGCTTTCATAAAATCTGCTTCCTGTTATCTTCAGTTTGGCTCAAAGAAAATTCTGTTTTTCTCTTCTAACTTGATAGTTAATGTTCCCTGACTCTCACTTTGTGTCCAGTCCAAACCTCCTTTTGGAGTCATCTCACCACCCACCCAGGGTCCAGCCATCAAATAGGCATCTCCCAGCCCCTTAGGGGGCTTCCCAAGTGGCACTAGTGGTAAAGAATCTGCCTGCCAATGCAGGAGACTCAATTGATATGGGCTCAATCCTTGGATTGCAAATATCCCCTGGAGAAGGAAATGGCAATCCATTCCAATATTCTTGCCTGGAAAATTCCATGGACAGAGGAGCCTGGTGGGTTACAGTCCTTGAGATTCAAAGAGTTGGACGCGACTGAGCACAACACACAGCTGCTTGGAGCCGACAGAGCTCACATGGCCTCAGTTTACTTGCCCGTGGCCTTGTCTGCTTTCTCGTTGCCTCTCTTCTGAAACCAAGGGCTGAATCTCCAGCATCTCTCATCTGGATCATTTTCTGGAGATTCAGTCCTCCATATTCACACACACCACTTACATCTCCCACCCTGGCCCCAGAGGAATCTTACTAAAATGCAACTATGACCACCTCCCTCTATTGCTCTAAATCTGTCTATGAATCCCCATTTTCTTTGATAAATTAGCCACTGTGACCTTATCAACCATTAACAATTTACGGCACCCCTAAATGGCAGGTAGTATAATCAACATTACCAGATAGTTCAGGAGAGGAAGAGTTACACAATTCTTCAGTGAATTCCCAAAGCTGATCTTTGCTATGTGTATAAAGTCCAGGCAGTCCTAGAACTATTAAGGAAATTGAATTTGTAATTTTAAAAGTCCCCCAAAAGGGACTAGGTATCATCATGGTTCATAAGTTGTTTAGCTACAAGTTCATTTCAGTAGCAGGACCTAACAAATATTTGAGGTCAAAATCTCCTGTGTTTAAAAAACATATTTTTTTTTTACCTTGCTAATAAAAATATTAATTTGTTTGGGGAAAAAAATAATTGAAAAAAATTAAACTCCCAAAGAAGAAATCTCCAGGCCCAGGTAAAAAATTCTACGGAGGTTCAAATAAGAATTAACACTACTTTTGCCTGGAGAGTCCCATGGACCTGGCAGCCTGGCAGGCTACAATCTACAGGGTCACAAAGAGTCGGACACTGAAACGACTTAGGGTACATGCATGCATTATATAATCTCTTCCAGAAAATTGAAGAAGGAACACTTCCTAATTCATTTTATGAAGCTAGCATCACCCTGATACCAAAACCAGATAAGGAGAGTATAAATAAGCAAAACTACAGAACACCCCTCGTGAATCCAGACCAAAAAAATCTTAAAAAAAATATTAATCAATAGAATTCAGCAATATATAAAAAGAAGTATTCATCATGAGGAAGTGGAGTTTATACCAGGGATGCAGGGCTGTTTCCATATTCCAAATTCAATCAGTGTTTTCCACTGTATTAAAGAGACTTTGGTAGGTGGAACAATGGTTCCCTAAAGATGTCAATGTCCAAATCTCCAAGGCCTAGGAATATTTAGGTTACATGGCAAAGGGGATTTAAGTTTGCAGACGGAATTACAGTTGCTAATCAAATTAAAATAAGGAGACATTAAAATAAAGTAATAATCATTAAAATAAGGAGATGATCCCAGATGATCTACTGAGTCCAATATAAAACAGGCATCCTTAAATGTGAAAGAGAGTCAGGGAAAGGTGACTGTGGGAGAAATTCAGACTGATGTAACATGAGGTTTCTACCCACTATTGCTGGCTTTATAGATGGAGGAAGGAATGGGGAAAGCTAGAAGCTGGAGAAAGCAAGGAAATAGATTCATTCTTTGAGGCTTCAGAAAGGAACACAACCCTCAGGGACTGCCCTGGGGGTCCAGTGGTTAAGAATCCACCTTGCAATGCAGGGGATGTGGGTTCAAATCCTGGTCAGGGAACTAAGATCCCACATACTGCAGAGCAACTAAGCCTGAGCGCCACAACTAGGGAGTTCATGCACTACCCAACACAGCCAAATAAATAAATAAATACTTAAAAGAAAAAAACATAAGGAGCATAGTCCTGCCAACACCCTGATTTTAGTTTCATGAGAACCACATAGGACTCCTAACCTACAAAGCTGTAAGTAATACATTTGTGTTGCAATAAGTCTCTATATTTATGATAAGTTATTACGGCGACCACAGAAAACTAATACACAAGCTAAAGAAGACATGTCACAAGAACGTATCTATTCATGCAAAAAAAAAAAGCTTTTGATAGAATTTAACACCCACTCATAATAAAAACTCTCAGCAGACCAGGAACAGAGGGAAACTACATCAACTTGATGAAGAACATAAACAAAACCTCAGGTAACATTGTACTTCATGGTAAAAGATGTAACACTTTTCCTATTGAGACTGGGAACAAGGAAAGGCGTTCACTCTCAGGACTCTGATTCAAGAGTCCTGAAAGTGCTTGCCATTACAATAAAACAAGAAAAAGAAATAAAAGGCATATAAATTGAAAATTAACCCTATTTGCAAATGACATGACCTGTGTACAAAATTTCAAGAAATCTCCCAAACATGCCCGTATAACTAAGGAGTGAGTTAATTCAGAAAGGTTATAGGATAAGAGATCAACAAACAAAAATCAATGGCATGTTTGTATGCTAACAATGAGTATATGAAAACTGGAATTGAAAATACAATATCACTTATAATGTTTTGAAATAGAAAGAAAAAAAGAAATGCTTAGATGTAAATCTAACCAAACAGATACAGGACTTGGATACTGAAAACTATACAACACTGATGAAAGAAATCAAAGATTTAAATAAATGAAGAGAATCTGAAACTAACATAATATTATTATACTTCAATAAGAAACAAGGGCAGGAGGGAGGAAGGAAGGAAGGAAAAAAGGGAAAGACCATGTCTATGGGTTGGAAGACTCAACACAGTATGTAAAAGTTATCAAGTTTTGGAACATTCCTGGCTGTCTAGTAGTTAAGACTATACATTCTGATGCAGAGGGGTGTGGGTTCCATACCTGGTCAGGGACCTAAGATCCCACTTGTGGCACTGCCTAAAATTAAAAAAAAAAAAAAAAAAGCCTAGTCTCCCCCAACTGATACACAGATTTAGTGCTATTCCTGTCAAAATCTCTGCAAGATTTTTGGATAAATACAAGCCAGATTTTTTTAATGTCCAGCCAGCCTAACAGGCCTCCTGGAAATTGTGTCACTTTCTAGTCTCATTCCTTCATAGCTCTGGCACCAGATTCCTTTCTGTCCCTTCCAGACCTTTGCTTAGGCACGTGCCCCTGTTGATGCCCCCACACCACACCAACAGCCCCCCCGCCCCCCGGCAGCTCCCTCCTCTGTTCCCTGACTCCAGCCAGGTCTCCCTGACTCCCTGACTCCTTGCAGGCACCAGAGAGACTGGGATTTCCCTAGAATCCTTGGACCTGCCCGGCCCAGCCCCCGCCCAGGGCTGGCAGGGGAGGGAGCTCTGGAGCTGACAGAAGAGAGGAAATTCCCCTGGAACCTGTTTCTCAGCTTCCTGGCTCAGCTGGGGCACCCGCTGGAGGGAGAGGCCAGGCCAGGCCAAGGACCCTGGCCCGTCATGGCCTTGGCCCTGAGCCCGCCCCGGGTCCCCAAGCCCAAGAGTGCCCTACCCTCGCACTACTATGAGAGCTTTCTGGAGAAGAAGGGACCCCGAGATCGGGTAAGACGGGCTGGGGAGCTGGCACTGCTGGACGGCCCCTGGGCAGGTGCGGCACCTCTCTGAACCTAGACCTCCCCAGCCTGCTGAGGAGGGTGGGGTGGGTGCTGGTTGGGGCAAGACGTGGACTGGGGGCTGGGAAAGGTTCTGTCTGTTTGTCTGTCTCTCCCTGACTGTGATCTGAGCTCTTTCTCTTTCTGTGTCTCTCCCTGCCTGGCTCTATTTGTCTCTTTCTGAATCTCAGATATAAACAGGACTGGGGACTTCCTCCAGGAAGTAGGGGGGGGTGTCTTCTGACACCACTCCCCACCCCCGTATCCCTCCTCCCCCAGCCCTGAGCTAACTCTGTGAACCTTAGCCACAGGGATCAAGGTCCATACAGATTGCAGGTGGGGAGAGTGAGAGGTACTGGGGGCTGTGTACTACAGGACCAGATGCCAGTCAGGGGCCCAGTGAGTGTGTGAGTGTGTGTATGTGTGTGTGTCCTTCTCAGAATAAAGCTCAAGCCCTCCAATCCACTAAGCCCCACCCTCATCTCCCACAAGGACCCAAACCAAGCACCCATTTCCCTGCCTTTGCCCTGGAAGTTTCCTCCTTTCCTTCTGCCTTCATGCATTCAAATCCTCCCCAGCCTAGAAAGCACCAGAGGCAGGAGATCTCAGGGGTTAAGAAAGAGGGTTTATTTATCTGTGAACACACCTCGAAGCATGTAGGGGATCTTGGTTCCCCAACCAGGGATCAAACCCACACCCCCTGCAGTGGAAGCCAAGAGTCTTACCACTGGACTGCCAGGGAAGTCCTAGGCAGGTACCATAATTATCTGCTATTTTATCAGTGGTGAAACTGAGGCACAAAGAGCTTAAACAGCATTCAGTGGGTGACACATAACTGGTGTATGACAAAGCAGATGAGTTTGTTCACTTACTGCTTTCTTCCTAGTGCCTAGCACACAGTAGTTCTTCAGGAAATGATAGTTAAATGTGTGTGTGTATCTAGGATGTATCTATGGATGGACAGATGGGTGAGTGGGTGGGTGGACAGACAGGTGCTGCTGCTGCTGCTAAATCACTTCAGTCGTGTCCAACTCTGTGCGACCCCATAGACAGCAGCCCACCAGGCTCCTCTGTCCCTGGGATTCTCCAGGCAAGAACACTGGAGTGTGTTGCCATTTCCTTCTCCAATGCATGAAAGTGAAAGTGAAGTCTCTCAGTCGTGTCCAACTTTGCGAGACCCCATGGACTGTAGCCTACCAGGCTCCTTGATCCATGGGATTTTCCAGGCAAGAGTACTGGAGTGGGTTGCCATGTCCATCTCCAGGACAGACAGGTGAAAGGATGGATAAACACAAATATACTTGGGAAACACTGCAGGTTTGGTGCCAGATCACCACAATAAAGCAAATATTGCAATAAAGTGAGCCATATGAATTTTTTTTCATTTCCCAGTGCTTTATAAAAGTTATGTTGACACTAGTCTGTACCCTGTTGTATGTAATAGCACTATATCTTTTTAAAAATTAGCTCATAATCATCTGCTTTCTTTTTATTTACTTCTTTATTTTTGGCTGCGCTGGGTCTTTGTTGCTGTTCAAGGGCTCTCTCTAGTTAAAGTCAGGGGAGGCTTCTCTGTAGTTGCAGTGCACGGCCTTCTCATTGTAGTAGCTTCTCTTGTGGCAGAGCATGGGCTCTAGGGCGTGTGGAATAGCACTGTATCCTAAAAAGACAATGCACATAACTTAATTTTAAAATAATGCTTTTGGAAAAATGATACCAGTAGACACTTTCTGACTCAGGATAGCCACAGATCTTTAATTTGTTTAAAAACAAAACCCCACAATATCTGTGAAATACAATAAAATGAAGCATGCCTGTAGACAGGTGGATGGATGGATGGGTGAGTACATAAGTGGATAAAAGAATGGATGGATGAATGAATCAATAGTGGCTCGATGGACAGATGATCAGTGTCAATATAAGAGCTATCCTCATTGTGAAAGTTAGTCATTCAGTCATGTCCAACTACTTCCAACCCCATGGACTGTAGCCTACCAGGCTTCTCTGTCCAAATACTAGAGTGGGTAGCCATTCCCTTCTCCAGGGGATCTTCCCAACCCAGGGGTTGAGCCCCCATTGGTCTCCTGCATTGTAGGCAGATTCTTTACCATCTGAGCCGCCAGGGAAGCCTTTATGGACTCATTAATTTACTTCTTCCTTTGGGAAGTCTTCCCCGATTTAGCAGTTTGAAGTCCTCTCTCCTCCTCTGCAATCTCTTGGCCCAGGGTCTGTCTCTACCTGAGGGTGCTGATTTCTCTTCTCCCGAAGATTTTAGTGTCTCTGCTTTCTCTGTGGGCTGCCCTGGTGGCTGCAGGTGATGAAGGAAACCATGTAAAGATCTGGGAGAAGCATGTTCAGGTAAAGAGCCCAGCAGGTGCAAAGGTCCTGAGGTAGAGAAGGATGGAGGTGCCCAGCTCTGCCACCTCACCTCCCTCTCTTTCTTCACCTCTGGTTCACAGGATTACAAGAAGTTCTGGGCAGGTCTTCAGGGCCTGACTCTCTATTTCTACAACAACAATCGGGACACTAAGGTAAGGATGGAAATTAAGCCTCAAGAATTGGCCTGCCCTTGATCCCAGGACCTAACAGAGGGTGTGCACAGGATGTCCTAGCTGGAGGGGATGAGACACTCAGACTCTGTCTTCTGTGCTTCCAGCATGTGGAGAAGCTAGATCTAGGAGGCTTTGTGAAGCTCACAGATGAGGCTCCCTGGGGGAACTCCCATGACCCTGGCACCCACTTCTGCTTGGTTCTTCGGAACCAGGAGATCAAGTTCAAGGTAAGTCTCTTAAGGAGGGGCTGGTGGGAGACCATTCCTCCATGTCACACCCACCATTAACACCTACCAGCACAGAGTCAACACAGAGTTTATCACTGGGCAAATCATTAACCTCTCTGGGCCTTAGTTTCTACAAATGAAAAATGAGATAATATGTGTAAAGTGCCCAGAACACAATCTGATCCACAAGGACCACAACTGCCATCATTCAATCTTCAGTTATCATTGAGCACCTATCGTGTTCCAGACACTCTTCTTAGTCACAGCAGTGACTAACACAATTAAAAATTCCTGTGCTTAGAACACTCTCTAATATCATGTTCAGTCGCTGATTTGTGTCTGACTCTGTGAACCACATGGACTGCAGCACACGAGGCCTCCCTGTCCAACTCCCAGAGCTTGCTCAAACTCATGTCCATCGAATCAGTGATGCCATCCAACCATCTCATCCTCTGTCGTCCCCTTCTCCTCCTGCCTTCAGTCTTTTCCAGCATCAGGGTCTTTTCCAGTAAGTCAGTTCTTCACATCAGGTGGCCAAAGTTTTGGAGCTTCAGCTTCAGCATCAGCCCTTTCAGCAAATATTCAGGGCTGATTTCCTTTAGGATTGACTAGTTTGACCTCCTTGCTGTCCAAGGGACTTCTCCAGCATCATAATTCAAAAGCATCAATTTTTCAGCTCTCAGCCTTCTTTATGGTCCAACTCTCACATTGGTACATGATTACCAGAAAAATCATAGCTTTGATTATATGGACTGTTGTCAGCAAAATGATGTCTCTGCTTTTAATTATACTAACATCATACACAAAAATAAACTAAAAATGGATTAAACACCTAAATGTAAGACCATGTACTATAAAACTCCTAGAGGAAAACATAGACAGAACACTCTTTGACATAAATTGCAGCAGTATCTTTTTGGATCCAGTTCCTACAGTAAAGGAAATAAAAACAAAAATAAACAAATGGGATCTAATTAAACTTAAAAGGTCTTGCACAGCAAAAGAAACCAAAAAGACACCTACAGAATGGGAGAAAATATTTGCAAACAATATGACCGACAAAGGATTAATCTCCCAAATATACATACAGTTCAATATCAAAAAAACAATCAACTCAAACAAAAAATGGGATATCTAAATAGACATGTTTCCAAAGACATAAAGATGGCCAAGAGACATGTGAAAAGATGCTCAACATCGCTAACTATTAGAGAAATGCAAATCAAAACCACAATGACACTGGTCAGAATGGCCATCATCAGAAAGTCTACAAATAATAAATGCTAGAGAGAGTATGGAGAAATGGGAACCCTCCTGCCCTGTTTTTGAGAATGTAAATTGATGCAGCCAGTATGGGGAACAGTATGGAGGTTCCTTAAAAAACTAAATATAGAACTACCATATGGTCCTGCAATCCCACTCATGGGCATATATCAGGAGAAAACAACAATTCAAAAAGGTACATGTACCCCTACGTTCATGAAGTGAAGTGAAGTGAAAGTCACTCAGTCGTGTCTGACTCTTTGGGACCCCATGGACTACACAGTCCATGGAATTCTCTAGGCCAGAATACTGGAGTGGGTAGCCTTTCCCTTCTCCAGGGGATCTTCCCAACCAGATCAAACGCAGCATTTACAAGAGCCAAGACACAGAAGCAACCTAAATGTTCTTCAATGGAAGAAATGAAAAAGAAGATGTGGTACATACACACAATGGAATATTACTTAGCCAGTAAAAAGAACAGAATAATGCCATTTGCAGCAACATGGATGGACCTAGAGATTATAAACTGAGTGAAGTAACTCAGAAGGAGAAAGACAAATACCACATGATATTGCTTATCTGTGTAATCTAAGAAAAAAATGATACAAATGAACTTACATACAAACAGAAATAGTTCCACAGTCATAGACAACAAATTTATGGTTACCAAAGGAGAAAGGAGGGGGGGAATAAATTAGGAGTTTGAGATTAACATATACACATTACTGTATATAATATACATAAGCAAGAACGACCTACAGCGAAAACTATATTCAGAATTTTAGAATAATATATAAGGGAAAAGAGTCTCAAAAAGAATCTCACAGGGACTTCCCTGTGGTCCAGTGGTTAAGACTCCACCTTCTAATCCAGGAGGTGCAGGTTCCATCCCTTGATGGGGAAATAAGATCCCACATGCTAGTTGGTACAGTCAAAAATTTTTTTAAAAGAATCTCATATATAAAACACACACATATATATATCACTTTTCTATATACCTGAAAGTAACACAACATTATAAATAAACTATACTTCAATTTAAAAAAAGAAAAGAAATACCTGCCCTTGTAGAGTTTACAGTCTTGAGTCTTGTGGTGGAAGCATACAATAAAAAATAAAAATGTGTAAAATATATGGAGTATTAGATGGTGGCAGATGCTAGGGAAACAAGTGCAAGGGAAAGGGGATGGGGGCTCAGGGCTGTGATGTTAAGAAGTGTGAATAGGTCTTCTTATTGAAGACCTGAAGGAGGTGAGGAAGCCAGCAGTGTAGAGATCTGAGAAACAACTTCAGCAGTAGAAACAGCATGTGCACAGGCCCTGAGGCTGAACTGTGTCTGGAATGTTGGAGGAACAGTGAGAAAGCCCCAGTGGCTGAAGCAGAGTGAGAAAGGAGGAAAGAGGGAGGGAATGAGGGCAGGGAGGGGATGGGGCAGGTTGTGTAAGACCTGTGGGCTACAAGGAGGACCTGGGTTTCTACCTTGAGGGAGGTAGAAATCAAGGGAGGGTTTCACACATAGGAGATGTATGATCTATGTTTTTTTGAAATGTTGATGTGAACTTCCCTGGTGGTCCAGTGGCTCAGAATCCACCTGCCAATGCAGGCGACTCGGTCCAGGAAGATTCCACCTGCTATGGAGCAATGGCTATGTGCTACAACTATTGAGCCCAAGTGCCACAACTACTGAAGCCCATTTGCCCTAGAGCCCATGCTCTGCGACAAGAGAAGCCACTGCAAGAGAAGCCTGCAGACTGCAACTAGAGAAAGCCTGCGTGCAGCAATGAAAACCCAGCACAACCAAAAATAAATTAATTATATTAAAAATAGTTGATGTAATAACATTAAAGAATAGTACCCCCATATTACTAAGGACGTATATTCATACATCATTCTAAATTAACCCATTCAACATTTAATTTTCATAACAACCCTCGGAAACAGGGATGCTTATTCCTTACTCCCATTTCACAGATGGATAGACCAAGGCTCTTCAGCCAGGCATACTTTTTCTTTTGTTCCCCAGGTAGAGAGCCTGGAGTCTCGGGAGATGTGGAAAGGCTTCATCCTGACAGTAGTGGAGGTAAGAGTGGTCAACCTCGGCCCTTCCCTCTCTCCTTCCCCACTTGGCCTGCTCAGAAATCCTTTTTAAAATTTCCATTCCCCAAACAAACCTCTCAACCTCCTCATTAGTCTCAAACTGGCAGCCTCTGAACCAGGTGTGAACCATCTGCGTTTTGTTTTGCCAACAAAGTGCTATAAATTTAAAAGTCAGCTGCTGTCGTTTAAAAACCAGGAATGTTAGAAAACAGCCCTGATTTCCGTGTTACTCAATTGCTCCCCGTCTGGCCCTGCAGGCCGTTGAGTTTGAGAGCCTCCATTTGCTCTGTCCGTCCCTCATCACGGAAGTCCTCTCTAAGCCCTTTCTGCCCCTGATGTGTCAGGAGGCCCGGGAGCCCCCTCCAGACCTGGGTTCCATTCTGGCTACATCCGCACCTTGGCCTCAGTGTGCCCCCTGTGACACAGTCACAGGCGCCCATTCCCTGATCGCCCCAATCCCGGTTCAGCTCCGCGTCCCGTCCAACCTGACGCTGCTGCCAGGACACCTGTACATGATGTCCGAGGCCCTGGCCAAAGAGGAGGCCCGCCGTGCGCTCGAGATGCCATCGTAAGCGCCCGAGGGTCTCCAGGACGGTGGCGGGCTGGGAAACATGGGGCCGCAGAGGGCAGTGAATGGGGTCTCCTGGCGTTGGGTCTTGGGTACACGGTGCATCCGGGCAGGGGTGGGGATTGGGTCCCCACAGCTGGGAGCTAGACTGGGTGTTCGGGGCAGTTCTAGGTTCCTGACCGCGGGTCTGGGCCTTCCCGGGAGGGTTTAGATGCCGGGGTGGCGAGTCTCGGGCTCTGAGGGTTGGCCTCCGTTCCCGGAGGGCAGGCATGGGCTTCCAGAGGCAGAGTCTGGGTCTGTGGGGATGAGGTAGGGTCTCCTGGGACCAGGTGACCGACAGGCGAGCTTGGCTGGGTGCCCAGGGACGGGGTTACATTGGGAGGGCGTGGCTGTGCCTCTGGGGGCGGGGCCTGCCCCCAGTGAGTGACGTTGCCCGCCCCAGGTGCTTCCTGAAAGTGAGCCGACTGGAGGCGCAACTGCTCCTGGAGCGCTACCCCGAGTGCGGGAACCTGCTGCTGCGGCCCAGCGGGGACGGCGCGGGCCGCGTGTCGGTCACCACGCTCCAGACGCTTAATGGGTGCGTATGCGCGGTTTCGGGTGGGCGGGGCGTCGGGTACAGGGGCGTGGTCACTTTGTGGGTGGGGCCTGGGCGGGGCCTCCCAGTGGAATCTATCAGGGCTTGGTTCTCCCGGGGGACATTGCCAGGAGCAGGGTCTTTCTTGAAGGTGGAGTCTTTTGAGGGCCTAATCCCCCGCCGAGAGCCACGCCAGGACGTGGGGTGGTCAGGGTTAGGCCCTTCTTGGGGGCGGGGCCCGGGCGAGGGTCGGGCCCTTCCTTGTCCTACAGCCAGGTCATGCACTCGCTCCCTGCCCTGTCAGGACGCCGGTGGTCAGGCACTACAAGGTGAAGCGCGAGGGCGCCAAGTACGTAATCGACGTGGAGGAGCCGGTGAGCTTTGGGCCGGGTCCGGGGAAGGCAACGGCGTCGGCTGCGCCCCTCCCACGTCGGCCCTGATAGCATCCCCTCTCTGACCCCAGTTCTGCTGCACCTCGCTCGAAGCAGTGGTCAACTATTTCGTGTCGCACACCAATAAGGCTCTGGTGCCCTTCCTGCTGGATGAAGACTATGAGAAAGTGATAGGTTGGTAGAACCTCAGGGAACTCGGTTGGGGGGAGGGCTCGGTCCACGCCTCTCCCGCCCCCTCCCCAACCCGGACACCCTTGGGTCAGCCCCCAGCTGCCGTGCCTCCTCCAGGCCGCCCTCTCTGTTCCAGGCTTCGTGGAGGCGGATAAAGAGAATGGCGAGAGTGTGTGGGTGGCGCCCTCGGCGCCCTCGGCCCCCTCCACCCCCGGCCCAGGTGATGCCTCCTCCTCGCGGCCGCCGCTGGGGCAGAGTGGGAAAGGATCTAGGACCCTCATGGCTCCACCTGTGCCCAGTCTTGTACCTAGAGCTGCAGGGACCCAGAAAGTACCCAGACCCTGTCCTCTAGGTGCTTCCAGGTTATGGAGGGAATGGACAGGGCTGGGCACACACTCGCAATCCTGAGAGGTTGAACCTGGGGCTGGAAGGCGAGGGGGTGGGAGAGTGCGGGGGTGGGGGTACAACCTAGAGTTGGGGAGAGGAGAAGGATGGGCAGAGTTGTGGGGGAGTCTTCTTGGAAGAGTGGGTGTTTCCTAAATTTCTCAAAGGATTTCATTAGGAAGAGATGGGAAATCAGGCTGGGAGTGGTCCAGATTATGGAGCAAAAGGAAGAGATTAGAAAAGTGGAAAGGTCTGTGGGATGAGCAGTATGGTCTTCCCTGGACTGGGCAGATGCTGAGGACCCCGCATGCATGACACATACACAAATGTATGTACAATGTACACAAATGTACATACATACACACATGCCACTCATGAACATAAACCTGTGTGTCCACCTGTATAATGAGAAGTTCCTATGTAAACAGTGGCTCCACCCATGCATAAACCTGGGTATCATACAGTTCCAGTCCCATGTAGCACACATATATATACTTCAAGTCACAACCACGTGTGTACACACAAAATGCAGACATATCCACTCATGAGCACAGATTCAGACCTTTACAGATACATGTGTGTACACACTAATATAGACAAGTGCTGTAACACATGCCTTAGCATCCATGAGGTATCATGCATGCACGAGAGTATAAACCCTTCGCTGAGCAGTGCTTAGTACCTCAGTTGTGTTTGACTCTCTGACCCCATGGACTGTAGCCCACCAGGCTCCTCTGTCCATGGGGATTCTCCAGGCAAGAATACTGGAGTGGGTTGTCATGCGTTCTTCTAGGGGATCTTCTCAACCCAGGGATTGATCCCAGGTCTCCCGCATTGCCAGTGGATTCTTTACAGGCTGAGCTACCAGGCAGGGAAACCCTTTACTTACATTCAACTTACGAAATTCACCCAGTGTCCATGTATTGCTATCCAGGGACACACAACCACAGACATAAATAGGCCCATGTCCAGACACACATGCATGGAGACACAGGCCTGCATGCAGGTGTGCACACACACATCCCCACCTGTGTCTCTGTTCCACCTGGGCCCCGACAGTGACCACAGTTTCCCACCAGGTCCTGCAACCCCCAAGGGTGGCCCTAAGCAGCTGCCTCCCACATCCATCACGCCTGCGCCCAGTCAGGACAAGCTGCCTCCACTACCGGACCAGGAAAACAACTATGTCATCCCCATTGGAGACACCCCAGCTGCCAGCTATGTGAACGAGGATGGTGGGTGGGGGACCGGGGTGGCTAGAACTGGCCATGGGTAGCAAGCTGGTGACCGGATGTGACATAGTACATCTCTGTCCACACAGTGCCTTCCCCGAGTCGACCAGTTGTTCCGAAGCCCAGGCGGTTGGCCAAGCTGCAGGCAAAGCTTCCAAAGCCACCTATTGTGCCCAAGTCAGGTATGGGGGGGGTGTTCCTCCTCCCAGCCCTTCCCCTTTGCAGCTGAGGGTGGGCCTCAGCCTTCATCTGTCTGTTCCTGCAGAGCCCAAAGGCCTCAACAGTGGCCCAGCCAGGAAGCTGGCAGCCAGCTCAGCACAGGCTTTCTCGCCCACCACAGGTAAGGGGTCAGTATAAGAGGGCTTCTCAAGTGGGGGACCCAGGTGGTCACACTCTGGAGCATTCCATGCTAGGTTTAATGCTCTGCTGTGTCCATCTTGAAGTTCCTCATGGCCACTGAACACATTTTCATCCTATGCTGCAGTGGTCCTGGGTGGATATAAGCAGGGAAAGCCTAGACTGGGGGTCTCTGGTGCCACTGGAGCCTCAGGCACCCCTACCCTCATTCTCAGGGCTGGCAGATGTGACAGCAGAACTGGAGGAGAAACTGCAGAGGAGGCGGGCACTGGAGCAGGCAGCTGAGCACGTGGCAGACCAGCAGGTCCGTCTCCAAGCACCACACACCAGTCAGGCGGATCCCTCCTCCCAGAATTAAAACTCAAGCGACCCCAGGAGCTGTGTTTGGCTTGGCTGGGTGGGGCGGTGCGGGATCTGTTGGATGACTGCCACAGCTGGTCCCAGTGGTCCTCAGCTCAGCAAAACCTGCCTCCTGACCCTGTAAGCAAAGCTCCCAGCTTTTTTACAGCTGTGCCTCATGGCTTGTGGGGGCTTCCCTAGTGGCTCGGTGTTAAAGAATACGCCTGCAACGCAGGAGACACAGGTTCAATCCCTGTATCAGGATGATCCCCTGGAATAGGAAATGGCAACCCCCTCCAGTATTCTTGCCTGGGAAATCCCATGGACAGAGGAGCCTGGCGGGCTACAGTCCGTCGGGTCTCAAAGAGTTGGACCCGACTTGGGGACTAAACAACAAGCTTGTGAGATCTTAGTTCCCCGACCAGGGATTGAATCCAGGCCTCTGCAGTGAAAGCACAGAGTCCTAACCATTGGACTGCCAGGGAATTCCCAAGAAGTTTCCCATTTTACATCTGAGAAAGCTGAGGTCTGGAGAGGACCAGGCACAGCCAGTGCCACCTAGCCCCCAAAAACAAGCAGCACCACCTGGCCAGTGTTTGACCTTTATTAGGAGGTGAGGTGTGGAAGAGGGCCCGACCCAGGGGCCCACTCTCCAGCAGTGACCCCCCATCAGGAGTTAAGGCTCCAAGCAGCAAGTGAGAGGAGGGTGCCCAGCTGAAACAGCCGAAGCCTGGAGGCGGCCCCCGAAATCTGCCCGCTGATGGGCAGTCCAGGGGCCTAGGTGAGGCTGGTGTTGGAGCTGCTAGTGGCACTGCCCCGCTTCTGCAGGCAACGCACGGAGCTGGGGACCTGCAGGCCGGTCGTCACGTGGAAGCTGCCACACCACACCTGGGGAACAGTCAGGGCAGGGAGAAGGGGATAGGCAGGCTCAGCAGGAAAGCCAACCCTCACGCCACCCTGCTCTTACTTCCTGGGCCCCTCACCGTGAAAGCCGGGAGCAGCGGCTGTGTGAACTTGGCCTTGAAGGTGTGCAGCAGCTGTTTGGTGCGGCCATTGTAGAAGGACAGGAGGCCTGGGGTGGAGGGCAAGGGCGACAAAGGGACCGGTGAGAGAGGTTTGGGCAGAGAGAAAAGTGGAGAGGGGAGGCCAGTGAGGGCTCGGAGGGGATTACCTTGATGGAAGTCGCAGTGCACACCCAGGCAGTCGGGCACGGGGGCGTCCAGCATCTTGGCCTTGTTGGCATGTTTGGCAGTGAAGCTGACCTGCAGCCAGTTGTTGACGTGCAGGCACCAGGACGCAGCCGTCTTGCCCAGCTGCTCGAAGCGACCCAGGCTACGGTAGGCCACCCCCACGCCAAACGCCTTGCTGTCTGGCTCGTAGCGCACCTCCCAGTAATGTTCCCCGCCGTCAATCAGCGTGTCCCCTGGGGGATGGGGCGGGCAGGGGGACTGGGTAGAATTGGCTCCTGGGTGCCCTTTCAAAATGGGCAGCCAGACCCTAGCTCTTTCCTCTAGACACTGCCCGGTTCCCAGCTATCCCATGCCTCCCTAGATATCTGACTAAGATACTAGATATCTGACTAAGCCCAGATAAGTCTCCAAGCCTCAGCGAGATATCAGTTAATCTATACCCTCCCAGGATCCTGGATCCAGATTCTTGTGACTTCAGCGATTTTCCCAACCAGCTATTCCTGCGCTGCAGCTTCTCCACCCACTTCTGCCCCACAAGACCATAGCTCAGCTCCTCACTCAGCCCTGGAAACCAGCTACTCTCAGGACTTCCCTGGTGGTCCAGTGGTTAAGACTCCACTCTCCCAATGCAGGGGCCTGGGTTCCACCCCGGTCAGGGAACTAGATTCCACATGCTACAACTAAGAGTTTGCATGCCACAACTAAAGATCCTGAGTGCCGCAACTGAGACCCGGCGCAGCCAAAAAAAATTAAAAACAAAACAAAACAAAACAGCAACTCCCTAACTTCATCTCCCACCCTCATCGCCTCCCAGGTATTACAGACCACACTGGCTTCTCCCTAGATCCTGACCTCTTTCTCAAGGTTTTTTTTCATGACAGTGGTGATTTCTAGGAACTCCTGTTCCTCCTCAGATTCCAGCTTCTCCTTCACAGGATCCAATCAGTCCTGTGGTGACAATATCTCTCACCCTAGTCATTCTCTCCATTTCTCAGACTCAGTTACTCTCTCTGGCTCCTCCACTCACCTTAAGCCACTTCCCCAAGCCCCTGGCTTGCTTCAGCTCCTCCACAAACCTGGTAAGCCACAGGCAACTATTCTTTCCAGCTACTCCCCGGGTCTCAGCTACTCCCTGGGTCTCATCTACTCCACAGACCTCAGGAAATTCCCCCTTAAGCTACTGCCCAGCCCTCCCCAGTCTAGAGCATCCATAAGTTCTGACTTTCCCCCAATGATCCCTCAGCCCCAAATCTTCCCATTCCCCCAAGGTCACAATAACACATCCCCGGTACTGTTCTCACAGAAGTTTTTTTTTTGACACCTGCCTCAGTTTCCCCAGCCAAAGGAATTCTCTCCCACCAACCCCCATCAGGGCCCTGCCCAGACTTCTCTCTACCGTCTTCCCTCCTCCTTACCCAGAACCGTGTAGGACTCAGCTGTGAAGCGATCCCGTCCCCCGCGACCCGAAGGCATCCTCTTGGGAGATGGAGTACCTCTGTGGGTGATAGGGAGGGGGAAGTCTCAATTCAGACCTCACCTCTCCCATAGGAGGGCTTCCCTGGTCCACCCCAGTCACCATGAACTTTTCATCTTTCCTGGACTGTGTGTGGCTCTTTTCATACACAGGGTCTCTCATGTTGGAACATACCTGTGCCCTTCCACATCTAGAAAATCCTATTCGACCATCAAAACCCACTTCAAAGATTCCTCTCCCTTCATTCACTCTTTGGGCTCCCCCCACTCCATGTCCCTCCCTCTACCCCAGCCTTGACCACACTGGACTCTGTATGTCCATGTCCAGCTTGATCTCCTCCACCAGGGACGCAGGGAGGGGAGGGGGCAGGCTACCTGGCTGGGGAGTTGACGGGAGACGCCGTCCGCCCCTTGCCATCTTTCTCGCGAGCTTTGATATCCTGCACCTTCCCGCCCATGGCGTCCCACTCCACGGAGAGATCATCCACCCGCAGGTTCTGGTGGGATGTGGACGCATCCAGGCGGAACATGAACGCTGGGGCCAGGCAGACACAGGAGTCACAGAGATGGGAAAACCCAGAGACACAGAGAGAGACAGAGAGACAGACAGTGACCATGACAGACCATGACAGGGACAGAGAACAGAAAGAAACAAAGGAACAGAGACTAAGACCAAGAGAGAGAAAAAGAGAGAAATGGACAAAGGTTCAGAGATGGAGAGAGATGGAGACAATAGGCAGAAAAGCACCAAGAGACGAGACGGGGAAGGGTGGAGCGGGCAGAACATGTAGCCAGAGGAGTGAAAGCCAAGGGCTAGTTGCTTAAAGGTCTCCCAGGTCTGAAGCCATTTTCAAACCACTGTGCTGCCCTGTGCTTTCACTGGGGATTAATCCCAGAAAAGGGGCTGCGCTATAGCATGACAGAGCTAAGCTAGAGTGCAGAAACGACTTCCTACCCAAACATGCAAAGGTATCATCACTGTGGGGGGGCTAAGAAATCTGTCTTCAGTACTGATACCCTGTTTCCAATTCTATAGAGCACTAAGCTATTTTTTTTTTTTTTTTGAAGAGTGAGTTAGAGAAAGAGGGGGAGTGTGTGTGTGTAAAAACCATCCAGGTATGATGCGATCAACTGCAAATGCAAAGAACAATACCAAGTTTATACCAGACACTCAGGCTAAGGAATCTACTATGGATTGAGCACTGAGCTTCCCGGCAACCAGGGCAAAAAGGGCCATAGAACCCTGATTAGAAGATTCTCATTAGACACCAGTCCCTGGAGCCCTGGGAGTGAGTGGTTATGGAGTCACAGCGAGGGGAGGTATGGGAGTCAGTCACCTGGTGTCTCCAGGGTCACTGGCTCGGAGAACTCGCCTGAAACTGCCTTATTACAGGCCTTCACACGGAAATTCATGTATTTCATGTCAAACTTGAGACCTGCAAGGCAACAGAGGGGGCTTAACACTGTGTACTCTCTGAGTGATAGATTAGAGGTCTGAGTGTCCCACAGTCATCCCACCACCTCTCCTTCTAAGGAGCATCTTGTAGACCACATGGTAACCCTGAGAAATCATCCCTGTCCTCACTCACCTGTGGGGCTATGGATCATTTGGCTCCCCTGTAATCCACACTGGCCAATCAGGATGCTTTAAGGCTCAGTCACAGCAATTGGTCCAGGGATAGGCACATGACCCAAACTGACCAATCAGAATCTGCCCTGGGACTCTGGCTGATATTAGAGTGAGCAGAATCCCTCTTTCCTCTGAACTAGCCAACCAGGACGAAGCCACTCCTGGGAAAATTTGCCACCATGTTGGCAATGCTACTTGAGAATGTCTGCTTTCTCAGAGCCAACAAGTGTCTAGAACTGAGCTGAGTGAGCCATATGCTGGAACTCCCGGATCTAGCCATGACCAGTGCCTTAAAGATTTTCCCTAATGGTATCCTTTCTAAAAGTTATTATTAATTTCTTCTAATCTTAAAAAAAAATGAAAGCAACTATCGAACTGTCTTCCCCCTCATGCAAAACCTCTTTGGAGATATGTCCAGACCTCTCTCAGCGGCTTCACTCTCTCTCCCTCTTCTGGGCTTGTCAGTCCTCATTTGGTAGGTTCCCCTGGCTGACCACTCCTTCCTTCATGGAACATTTTTCCTTGGCAGTCATGGCACTGCCCTCTACTGACTGCCCCCTCTGACTGCTCCCTCTTGGTCTTCTTTGCACGCTCCTCTGTACTCTCAAATGTTTGGGTGACTCAGTCTAAGACTCTGCTCACCCTTTTTAATTTTTTTTTCTCCCCCCCCCCTTTTTTTTTCTAGTCAAGTGAAGCAGTGGGAGTGGAGAAGGAACAAAGAAATCTGTAACTGGCTGTGATCAATTAATTGTAAACACCACTGCACTCGGACCAGCCCCTGCTCACCCTTAAGACACTATCTGCCTACCCACAGAGCACACTCAACTCAACCTCTAGCTGAGACCACGTGTCCAGTTGCCCCGGGATTACACATGTACATGCAAATCAGTGCTTGCTAAACTGGTAAAACTGATGAAAAGTCAATCAACCCTGCAGACTATACTCACATCAGCTTCCTGGTTCTGGTATTGAACTCTAGTTATGTAAGCTGCCACTACTGGAGAAAGCCAAATATATATATATATATTTGTAAATATATTTTGAAATATATGTATTTATATTTCATTGTATATATATATATATATATATATATATATATATATATATATATATATATATATATAATATGTAATCAGGCTGTCCAACTCTTTGTGACCCGATGGACTGTAGACTGCCAGGCTCCTCTGTCCATGGGATTTCTCAAGCAAGAATACTGGAATGGGTTGCCATTTCCTTCTCCAGGTGATCTCTTAAGTCTTCTGCATTGGCAGGTGGATTCTTTATTACTAGCGTCACCTAGGAAGCCCCATGTGTGTGTGTGTCTGTGTGTGTTTGTATGTGTGTGTATACACAATGAAATATTATTCAACCTTAAAAAGGAAGGAAACTAACACCTGTTACAACACGGTGAACCTTGAGGACACAATGCTCAGCGACATAAGCCAGGCACACTGTTTGACTCCATCTATATGAGGTACTTAGAGTAGTAACAGTCCCAGGGACGGGAATTAGAATGGTGGGTGCCAGGGACTGGGGAGAGAGGAATGGAAGTTAGTGTCTAATGGGGACAGGGGAATTTCCTGGTGGTCCAGTGCTTAGGACTCTGTGCTTTCACTGCCAAAGGCAGGGGTTTGATCCCTGGTCAGGGAACTAGGATTCTGCAAGCCATGTGGTAAGGCCAAAATTTAAAAACAAAACAAATGACAACAATAACAAAAACTAATGGGGACAGTTTCAGTTTTGCAAGCTGAGAGGTTCTGGAGATGGATGGTGGGAGTGATCGTAGCACAACATTATGAATGCACTGAATAGCTGATCTGTACACTTAATGGTGACTGTGGTGGATTTTACCTTATGTGTATTTTGCACAATAATTTTTTAAAAAAGACCGGGGAAAAATGGGATGTGTTTATTTTTATTTCCATGCAAAGGGTAAGCTGAGAGCTTCTCAGGCCCTCTTCTTGGCTGCTGGCTTTTCTTTCCTGCAATTAGCATGCTTATTATTAAGCTTGTATGCTAATTACAGATAGGGAGCAGGCTGATTATAGCCCAGGAGCCCTGGTGATAGTTATCTTGTCAGGGAGACTCTCCCCACCCTTGAGGGCTTCCCCCTGGCTCAGGATGGTTTCTTAACTCATTAGGGACCCCTGGTTTTACCCTCCTCCAGACCCTCCCCTACCAGCTGGATGGATTCCCCGTCTTTCTGCTTTCGTGTAAGTGCCAAGGAAATCCTCAGGTCCTGGGAGGATGGTTCCCTGAACACCAGCTCCACGAGAGGAGGGATTCTCAGGCACTTTGTTTACTACTGTAAGGACAATGCTTGGTACCCTGCAGGGACTAAGTCAAAATGAATGAATGAATGATGGATCATAGAGATAAGACAGGGATGGAGCACACCCTTTCCAGGTGCTTCACTCAGTTCCTTCATCTGTAAAGAGCTGACAATAACACACTCATTACATGTGGGTAAAATGCTTAGCACATAGTAAGCCCTCAGTACATGGTGCAGGGCTGTCACCAGCATGGTTTTCCTTATTATATCAGTTACTCCCCATCAGCCCAGCAGAGCCTTGAGGATGGTCCACGAGCCCCAGGTGGACTCATGGGGAAGGCTGAGCTGCACTTACCGGTCAGGGTGTATTCCGTTTGCCGGATCCCCTCGATGACCATCCAGGGCTGGTCCTCCTTGAGGCGGGGCGGGCCCTCAAAGTTGGTCCGCCGATATTCCAGCACGAAGTGGTCAATCTTGTTGTCCTCATCTGGCATGCGCCACACCAAGGTTACACAGTTGTCGGCCACTAGGGACTCGGCAAGGTCGATCACAGGGGCGCTAGGCACTGCCCAGGACAGAGGAGAGAGGGGTGTCAGGGTGCGGGGCGGGGGACGGGGGCAGGGAAGCCTGCAGGGGCGGGCCTGGCTGTAACCCTGCCACACACTAGACCTTCTTGGGGTCTGGGCGTCCTCCGGATACCAGGATTAGAGGCGGGGCTTCTCTGGGTTCCGGAGCCTGGGGGTGGAGCCTCCTCAGGGTTTCACCAAAGGGTGTGGGGCAGAGAAGAGCTTACTTAGGGTTCAACCAACGAATACTCTGAATCCCACCATTTAGAGGTAGTAAGTTTCCAGAATGCTACCATTTGGAGTGTGGCCTCCATGGGACTCCACCCCCAGTCGGTGGGGATTCTTCAGGACTTTATCATAGGGTGGGGCTTCCTTATGGCTCCACCCACTGTGGGGTGGGAATCCTCAGGGCTCCAAGTCAGGGCGGGACCTTCTGCCATTTCCACAAATGGTTGTCAGCCTTATTCTGACTGTCATGCCTTGACTTGGGACCCTCTCCTAGACTTTGGGATTATTTTCCCCTACGATCCAGGGAGTTCCCCTCTCACCAGGCAGGAACGTGAGTGCCTGCAACATCCTCCGCTCCTGTGCAAAGTCCACCATGAGATGACTCATGTTGTCGCTGACCTTGGCTTTCAGTGACAGCCGGAAGGCGGGGGCCATTGTCACACTGCAGGGAAGGAGGTGGAGGCAGCCTGCACACTGCAGGGAAGGAGGTGGACGCCCGGGCCTAGTCCTCCGAGGTGTGTGTAGGGGGCCCCCCTCCCCCTTGTTGCAGTCCGGTGCCCTGGGCCAAGGGACCCTCACCTGGGTGTTCCCACCTTCACAATGGGGGTGGGGCAATGGGGTGGGAGCCAGGTCCCAGCGTCTTACCCATCTTTGATTTGCTTGGCAGCCTGGAAAGAGGGACAGAACAAAAGCCAAAGAATTGCGTTGGCTGAATCAGAAACCCACTACATAGACAAGAAGACTGAGGCCCAGCACGGGGACCTAGATTCGCCCCAGCACGGGGGAAGAAAACCTTAGCCGGACCCTGATGGGATGGGAGTCTAAGACAGGCTCCCACCCCTATCCCCACCTCCTGCCTAGTGCCCAGTACACACAGCTGACTGATTTAGCAAATGAAAAGATAGGCTACCCAGTTAAATTTGCATTGCAGATGAACAATAAATAAATATATACTTTTTAGTATAAGGAGGTCCTATCCAATATTTCAGATATACTTACACTAAATATTGGATGTAACATATTACTAAAAAATTAATTCCTTGTTAAATTTGAATTTCAAATACTGAATAAATATTTTAGTGTAAATATGTCCCAGGCGACATTTGGGAAATACTTAAACTAAACATTTGCATGAGATATACTAAAAATTTTATTCATTCTTTTTTTTAAATTGGAGTATAATTTCTTTACAATGTTATATTAGATTCTGCTTTACAACAAAGTGAATCAGCTGTATGGACACATGTATACATGCTCCCTCTTGGACTCCTCTCCCACCTCCTTCCCATCCCACCCATCTAGGTCATCACAGAGCACCAAGCTGGGCTTCCTGTGAGTTTTAGATCTACCACAAAGAATTCTTATTTTAGCATATGTCCTACCAATGATGTTTAGGATGTACTCAGACTAAATACTGCGTGGGCCATAATCAGAGTAAAACATTACTTGTAGTTGATCTGAAATGCAAACGTATCTGGGTGGCCACTCTGGCTCCCGAGGTGCCCACCTGGGGAAAGTCCTTGCTGTCAGTGGCCAGCAGGGTCTGGTTGGCCGTCTCCAGAAGCTCCTCCGAGCTCTCCAAGGCTCGCGTGCAGGCAGCCAGCTGGTTCTGCAGGTGCCATGCCACCATGAAGAGACACCTTACTCCAGGGCATCAGACCCTCCCAGGGCTCCTCATCACCTTGGGGATCTGGGGTACCATGTCTTTCTCCAACTCCAGGTGTGAGATGGAGGTGAGAGGGAGTTTGGGCCTCTCTGCGGGTGGGACATCGGAACCATCTGGGGATCCCTTTCTTAGAAATGGACATGTGGAGGGACTTCCCTGGTGGTACAGTGACTAAGACTCCAAGCTCCCAATGCAGGGGGCCTGGTTCGATCCCTGGTCAGGGACCTAGATTCCACATGTAACTAAAGATTCTACATGCTGCAACAAAGACCCAGCATAACCATATAAATAAAACAAGTGAATATTTTTTAAAAAGCAGCAGACATGCCTAGGTCAAATCTGAGCCTAGTGCTCCACATTCCTTGTGGATGGGTATCCAGGGTGCTAGGAGGTGGCCCAGGAAATGCTGCTGTCGCCCTGGTGACCCCAGCTTGGAATCTGAGACCCCAGAGGAGCCATAGCGGGTGTTTGGCAAGAAGTGATGCCCTCAGATCTGAGGGACCAGTGGGAAGGGCTGAAAAATTGGAAGTGCGAGATGAAGACAGGTGGGGAGGAACAGCCAGATGTAGAGGTGGGGCTGCAGCAATGGAGGGGAGAAGGGATTAAGAGGGAGAGCAGGTGGATGGGGGATGGATAGGGCACAGCCAGGGAGGGGGCTGGGAAGAGCCCAGGGAAAAGAGGAGGTGTGGCTGACACCACTGGACGGTCTGGCTCATGACACCAGGGACACTGGAGGCCCCTCTGGGAGGGGGCAAGAGAGGAGGAGCAGGTTCGGAGGAAGATGTTGAGGCCGGTCGGGTTCTGGGGAGTGTGGAGGGGATGGCGTCTGGGAGGGAGTCCGGGAGAACACCCCCCCCCCAAATCACACACACCTGTAGCTCATAGGTGCGGCTGGCACGGTCCTGCTTTATCTTCATGAGCATGCCCTCCTTCAGCTCCTCCAGGAGGGAGAAGAGGGACTGGAACTCGGCTTCCAGGTCCTCCTGCACCTTGGCCGAGTTTGCCTTGGAGAGACGAGGTGAGGTGAGAGTGGCCAGGACTGACCAAGCTGCTACTCAGACAGGCAGCGAGGCCCAGGGTCCCCAAGGGCAGGTTACCTCTATAGCTGCCCTTCCCCCCACCCTGGGGGCAGGGGTGACTTCCTCACCTCCACGTTCAGCAGCATCTGCTTGAGGGAGTAAATGAAACTCTGGATCTCTTCATTTTTCACAGCCAGCGTCGTGATGATCTTCCTCAGAGCCTCCTGCCCCCAGGGAAGCATGCACAAACAAGTCCCTCAGCCTGGCCAGGGCTCCTTGACTTGAAGCTCCCCCTTTCTGTCCTCCAGGGATCCAGGGAAAGGATGTGGGAGCCACTGTGCCAAAAAGCTTGGGCACCACCCAAGGGCAGGCCCTGGGTGGAGCCCTGGCCCTACAGCCCTCAGGGAGCAGCAGGCATCAGGCACATTGAGTCCGCCCATTTCACAGCGGAGGAAACTGAGGCTCTGAGAGAACTTCTCAGGAAGCACAGACCCTGGGCCCCGGCCAGGTCTGCCTGAGTGCAAAGCCTTCAACCAGGTAGCTATATCCTTAGGGGGAGGGGCATGATTGGGGTGAAGAGCTAGCTCCGGGAAAGAGACCCCAGAGGAAAAGGATGCCCGCAGAACATGGGTTCATCTGGAAAAGGGGAGACGCTAGGGAGTCAGGTAAGTGGAGAAAGGTAGGAAGGTCTGGGGGAGGGGATGCCGGAAGAGGAGGCCGGCGTAGGTGGGTGATTCTAGGGCCTGCAGCCCTAACCCAGGCCTCCCACGGGTCCTTTTTCTGGGGGCACGGGATTGGTGGGGGTCACCTGTGCTGAGCTGGCGGGGCGCCCTCCGAGGCGGGGCGTGGTCAGGGTCGGGACACCTGGTCCGCAGTCCCGATGGAAGGCGTGGGTGATGGAGTCAAGGCTGGGTCCCTGATACTGGGGGGGGGGGGGGCGTGGGGGCCATGAAGGGGATACGCCTTAACTCAGGACAAGATGATGTGGGTCGTGGCTAGGGTGGGGGGCTGCGGCGTCCAGAATGGGGGCTAGATCCGGGCGTGGTTGCGGCGAGGGTGGGGCTTCGGCCGCAGAGCAGCTGGGGTCGGGGGAGGCTGGGAGGACGCTGCGGCATCACCTGGTCCCCCTCCTCTCGTCCACCCCCGCTTCGGACCGCGCCCTGCCCCGCCCGGGTCTTACTTTCTGGTCCTCCATGGCTGCAGCCCAGGTCGTCCCGGCCCGGCCCGCGGGCCCCACTCGCTCTTCTAGTCCCCAAGCTGCCTTTGCCGCTGCCGGTAGCCAATGGCCCGCCGAGTCCTCGCCGCCGCCGCCGCCGTGCCCCCAGTCAGCGCTCCATCACTGGCCGCAGCGCGCAGGCGCGCCCCTCGCTGCAAGCTGGGAAATGTAGTCTTTCTTGAGCTGGGGTCGCGGAAGGCCGAGACCCTCAAAGCCTGGGTCGTCGCAGGTGATATTGCTAATGATGCCTGAGCTGGAGAGAGCTCAGAACTGGGAGGCAGGATGCCTGGGTTCAACTGCCCTGTGACTTTGAGCCTGTCCCTGGTTCTGTGCCTCAGTTTCCCAACTCTTTCACCCCTGCAACTTCTCAGCTACCACTCAAAATGGAATTTCATCGCCACATTTCCGGCCCGCCATCCTGGCCCGTAGACCTGGCTCCACGACTACTCAAGCCTCGCATTTACTGAAAAGCCAAAGTCTTTTGCCTAAGCAGATGTTCAGCTTCCAATGTTGCCTTTCTCTCCCCACATCACAGCTGAGCTCCTAAGCATCCCACAGAGCCCCAGGCTCTCACGTCTCCTCCGGAAGCTTCTCTGCCTGCCCAGAATCCACAGGGCTAGGAGGAGGCTGGTGAGCTCAGTGTATGACGTGTGGCAGAACACCACCACAGGGGCCTGTTTGTGAGTGATGGGAACAGTTCTGCCAAGAACAGTGACCTTCTTCTTTCTGGTTGGAAAAAAAAAAGAGGTCACACTGTGGTTGGGAGTGAGACACCGAGGTCTAGGAGTCTGCCTTCTCCTCCCAGCGTGGGTACAGCTGGCCGAGCGGTAATACGTGCAGGGCTGAGAGAAAGTCTGGAGACTATGAACACCCCCTGCAAACTTCTCCCAGCTGCAGGGGCAGGTAACCGCCCCCCCCCCACCTGCCGTGGGACTCAAAACCATTAGCAGAAATCCATTCCCTTGAACCCCAAAAGAAGACATCTTAGGGGCAAAATAATTGAGGCTGAGACGCTGCCCCTAGGTCCCCTGCTCAGGTCTGAACCATCTGGTCCCCTCCCTGTTCCTTCTCTCACCTGTTCTGCAGTGTGTCCCCAGTCTAGGCATGTTTATGGAGTCTTTTTCTTTTAAAGATTTTTTTTCTTTGATGTGGACAATTTTTAAAGATTTTATTGAATTTGTTAACAATATTGTTTCTGTTTTGGACTTCTCTGGCGGTCCAGTGGTTGAGAATGTGTCTGCCAATGCAAGGGACATGGGTTCGATCCCTGGTCAAGGAAGATTCCACATGCTGCAGGGCAACTAAGCCCATGGGCCACAACTACTGAAGCCCGTGCTCCCCGACAAGAGGAGCCCGTATGCAGCAGTGAAGACCCAGGATGACCAAAGATGAATAAACAAACACAATTCTTAAATGTCTATTTTTTAAAAAATATTGTTTCTGTTTTATGTTTTGGTTTCTCAGCTTCTAGGTGTGTGGGATCTTAGGTCCCCAACCAGGGACTGAACCCGCACCCCCTGCATTGGAAGGCCAAGTCTTAACCTCTGGATGGCCAGGAAGGTCCCTCTGTAGTCTTTTAGGAAGATTTTCACTCACTTCATCCCCATCACATACATGTATTGCCTTCCGCCTTGAAAAAAAAAAAAGAGGGAAACTGAGGCACAGGTGACATGAAGTGGAGCCCCAGCAGTAGTGGCCACTGGACGTCTGCCAGCTGGCCTGGGTGTTGCTTAGGCCTCTATGGTGGGGGCGGAGTGTCACCTAACCTTCTGTGGCAGGAAGTCTGTCACACGGGAGGGGAAAGGGGGTAGTGGGGCGCCAGCTGGGAGAGAGGGGCCTGATGGGCCAGGAATGGGGTCCCCGGGCACAGTGCTGGTCCTCCTGGTGCAGTTCTGGGGTGAGTATCTGAATCTCCCCACCTTGGCCCTCATCCTGTTATGACTCATCACTCCAGCTGCCTGCCCCTCCTGTTCAGAGCCCCCTCAAAACCTTAGTCTCTCCGCTCTGCCAAATACACCCTGTCTCTCTCCCTGATACTCAGAACTTTACAAGGGTTGAACTCTGTGTGTTAGTTGCTCAGTAGAGTTCAACTCTTGCCTGCCAGGTTCCTCTGCCCATGGAATTCTCCAGGCAAGAATACTGGAATGGGTTGCCATTTCCTTCTCCAGGGCATCTTCCCTACCCAGGGACTGAACCCAGGTCTCCTGCATTGCAGGCAGATTCTTTGCCATCTGGGCTCCGAGGGAAGCCTACAAGAGTTGAACCGTTCTAGCAAAAATCCACAGAGGGAGGCTTAGGATAAAATGCACACTGGGATCTGCTCACGAGCCTTGTGTGACCTGGCCCTGCTGGCCTCTCTATTCTCTGTGCTCCTCTGCATTCCCTCTCTATCCCCCATGGCCAGTCTGCTGACTCCTCTTTCTTTCTTCTTTTTTTATCCCAACACATCGAGCTCGATCCTACCTCTGGACCTTTGCACCTTCTGTCCCTCTGCCTGGAATACTCTTCCCTGCATCTCCTCTCTTTAGGGTCAGCTACAACTCCACCCCAAATGCCAGGAACTTGACAGCAACTCACCCCTTCTGGGGGGGCATCTAACAGGTACCCCATACTTCCCATGGCCAAAAGCAAACTCTTTCTTTCCGCTCTAACCCTGTTTCTTTCCGCTCTAACCCTGCTTCTTCTACTCGGTATCCCCCATCATTTTTTTTTTTTTTTTGCCTGTGTGGCATGTGAGATTAACTTAGTTCCCCAATCAGGGATCAAACGCACACCCCCTGCAGTGGAAGCTCAAGTCTTAAACACTGGACCGCCAAGGAAGGCCCTCAGTGTCCCCGATCTTGGCCTAAAGTCGCCACCAATCACAAAGTCCCCCAGCCTAAGAACCTTGGAAATCTGCCACTCTCTCTCTTTCCCTCCCTCCCAATTCAGTTCTTCTTTTTTAATATTTATTTTTAAACTTTTAATTTTGTGTTAGAGTATAGCCGATGAACAGTGTTGCGACAGTTTCAGGGGAACAGTGACTAACTCAGGTCTTGTAGTTCTTCTGTGGGCAACTTTCAAAATCTGTTCAGACTCTGACCTCTTCTTTTCCAGGGTCTGGGTCCCATCACCGGTCTCCTGGACCCTGGTTTCTCGGCCATCCTGACCACCCCCCACCCCCGCAACCCCTGCCCCATGAAGATCACAGTCTGTTCTCACCATGGCAATGACTGTGGTTATTTTAAAAATTTTAACTGGACCACACTTCCTCCCTGCTCCAGTGGTTTCCCATCACGCTTAGATTGAAAAGTACACTGCTCCCCTTTCCCCACCCCCACCCACCTCCCTACCTCCCTTATACCCTACCCACACAGCCCGCAGGTCTCTAAAAGCCATGCCCCGCTGACTTCTCTGATCCCACTTCCTCCCTCTCTCCCCCTTGCATGCTCTGCTCCAACCCTGGGGGCCTCCTCCCTGTTTCTCCAACTCACCAGGCCCGTTCTAGCCTCAGGACCTTTGCATGACCCATTCCTTATGGACGACTGACTACTTCTTTTTTTTTTGAGATTTATTTTATTTGTTTATGGCTGTGCTGGGTCTTCATTGGTGCACTCAGACTTTCTTTAGTTGTGGCAAGCAGGGGCTACTCTCTAGTTGCGGTGTTTGGTCTTCTCATTGCAGCAGTTTCTCTTGTTGCAGAGCACGGGCTTAGTTGTCCCACAGCACGTGGGATCTTCCCCAACTAGGGATCGAACCCGTGTCTCCTGCATCGGCAGGTGGATTCTTTTTTTTTTTTTTTTCCATTTATTTTTATTAGTTGGAGGCTAATTACTTTACAACATTGCAGTGGTTTTTGTCATACATTGAAATGAATTAGCCATGGATTTACATGTATTCCCCATCCCGGTCCCCCTCCCACCTCCCTCTCCACCCAATCCCTCTGGGTCTTTCCAGTGCACCAGGCCCGAGCACTTGTCTCATGCATCCAACCTGGGCTGGTGATCTGTTTCACCCTAGATAATATACATGTTTCGATGCTGTTCTCTTGGAACATCCCACCCTTGCCTTCTCCCACAGAGTCCACAAGTCTGTTCTATACATCTGAGTCTCTTTTTCTGTTTTGCATATAGGGTTATCGTTACCATCTTTCTAAATTCCCTATATATGTGTTAGTATACTGTAATGGTCTTTATCTTTCTGGCTTACTTCGCTCTGTATAATGGGCTCCAGTTTCATCCATCTCATTAGAACTGATTCAAATGTATTCTTTTTAATGGCTGAGTAATATTCCATGGTGTATATGTACCACAGCTTCCTCATCCATTCGTCTTCTGATGGGCATCTAGGTTGCTTCCATGTCCTGGCTATTATAAACAGTGCTGCGATGAACATTGGGGTGCACGTGTCTCTTTCAGATCTGGTTTCCTCGGTGTGTATGCCCAGAAGTGGGATTGCTGGGTCATATGGCAGTTCTATTTCTAGCTTTTTAAGAAATCTCCACACTGTTTTCCATAGTGGCTATGCTAATTTGCATTCCCACCAACAGTGTAAGAGGGTTCCCTTTTCTCCACACCCTCTCCAGCATTTATTGCTTGTAGACTTTTGGATAACAGCCATCCTGACTGGCGTGTAATGGTACCTCATTGTGGTTTTGATTTGCATTTCTCTGGTAATGAGTGATGTTGAGCATCTTTTCATGTGTTTTTTTTGCCATCTGTATGTCTTCCTTGGAGAAATGTCTGTTTAGTTCTTTGGCCCATTTTTTGATTGGGTCATTTATTTTTCTGGAGTTGAGCTGGAAGAGTTGCTTGTATATTTTTGAGATTAATCCTTTGTCTGTTGCTTCGTTTGCTATTATTTTCTCCCAATCTGAGGGCTGTCTTTTCACCTTGCTTATAGTTTCCTTTGTTGTGCAAAAGCTTTTAAGTTTCATTAGGTCCCATTTGTTTATTTTTGCTTTTGTTTCTAAAATTCTGGGATGTGGGTCATAGAGGATCCGGCAGGTGAATTCTTAACTGTACCACCAGGCAAGCCCCGAACGCATCTTTCTATTCACATCCCTGCTCAAATGCCACCTCCTCTGAGAGGCCCTCCCTGATCACCCTCTATAAGTACACCCTCTCATTTCATCCTTATCATCTCTTGCCATTCCCCATGCCTTTCCTCCATTGTGATTCTCATTTCAAGACTTCCTGTGTCTCTCCCCTGAGACCGCCGGCTCCACAAGGGGAGGGGCTTCTGTCTGTCTCAGTCACCTGTGTGTCTGTGTCCACAGGGTCCAGATCAGGGTCTGGCACACTCCAGGCAATCTTTCTGTGGCTGAGAGGCCGACATGTCATAGAGTTCACCTTGAAATCTCACAAGTGCTGAGAGACTTATACCCATTTCACAGATGGGGCCATGAAGATTCAGCAAGAAATGACCTTGCAAAGATCACACAGGCAGTAAGCTTTCAGGCTCTCACTGCCTTATTCCTGTGGACTGGCTAGGGAAGTAAGTCACACATGCACATAGACACTCACACACACACACACACACACTTATGAAGGTCTCACTCACTTCTTCTTTCCCCTAGTCCTGCAAGGAGCCACAGGCCTGACTGTGCAGCAGACACCCAAGTTCTTGCAGGTGAGACAGGACAGCCAGGTGACTTTGACCTGCCAGGTGGCGTGGACCCAGGCCTGGGAGCGGCTCCATGTCGAGTGGATCAACGACGTTGACATCTTCTGCCAGACACACATCATCAAAGGCAGTCTCAGCAAGAATGTCTGTGGGCCTCAGGGATGGCTCTCCTAGCAGCCGCCTGGCAACCTCACCCTGCAGCTGAACCACGTGAGCTTCAGTGACAGTGGACGCTATGTGTGTGGGGCGACCATGGAGATCCCTGATTGGGAGGAGGCCCAGGGCAACGGGACGCAGCTCCTGGTGGAGACAGGTATCAGAACATGGGGGTGCGGGGCAGGGGTGTAAGCCAGGGAGGACTTGGAACTTCTGGAAATCTTAAGCTTCTAGAATCTCAAACTCCTAGCAACTAAATCCTCTAAATCAGATTCCTAGAAACAGTCTGCAGATGCAAGAATTTTGCAGGCCAGACAGTTTCTGTTGTGACGACTCCACTCTGCTATTATAGTGTGAAAGTCTCCATAGACATGCTTAAGGGAATGGGTGGGCCTGGGTGCCAATAAAATTTTATTTGGGAAAAAAAAACAGAGGGCTGAATTTGACTCACATGCTGTAGTTACTCAGCCCTGCTCCAGTATATCACAATCATAAACACTCTTGAATATAGATAATTCTGGATTCAAATTCAAAACAGTTCCGTAAACTGTGTTATTCAAGTATATCCTCCATACAGAGAAATGCACATGTTGAAAGTGGCCAGCTCATGGATATCTTAGTCTGTTAGATCACTGATAAAACACTACAGACTGGGTGGTTTATAAACCACATATTTATTTCTCAGAATTCTAGAGATCAAGATCAAAGTGCCAGCAAGGTCATGCTCTGGTGAGAGCCCTCTTCCTGGCTCATAGCCCGCACCTTCTGGCTGTGTCCTCATGTAGCAGAGGGGGCCGGGGAGCTCTTTAGGGTCCCTCTTATTGAGGGCTGCTGGGCCACGCTGCATGTGGGCTTTTAGTTCAGCAACCAGGGGCTGAACCTGCACCGCCTGCCTTGGAAGGGCAGAGTCTTAACCGCTGGACGGACCACCGTAAGAGCACTGGTGCCATTCACGAAGGCTCTGCCCCTTTACCTAGTTACCCCCCAAAGGCCCTGACCTCTCGTTACCACTGTATTAGAGGTTAGGATTCAACATGTGAATTTTGGAGGGATGTATACAAATCATAGGTTTCTCTGGTGGCTCAGTGGTAAAGAATCCACCTGTGATGCGGGAGATCTCTGGCTTGGGGAGATCCCCCTGGAGAAGGAAATGGCAACCCACTCCAGTATTCTTGCCTGGGAAATCCATGGAGAGGGGAGACTGATGGGCTATAATCCATGGGGTTGCAAAAAAATTGGACATGCCTTATTGACTAAACAACACCAACACAAATCATAGCAATGGATTCTCACAACCTACGCACACTTGGGTACTCACCACCCTGCTCAACACACATACATGCCTCCTTATAAATGCCATCCTCACCTCCCCCCCACTATTCTGACTTATAGCAGCATAAATCTATTTAACTGGCTTCCTATTTTACTTAAATGAAATCATAGAGTGCATTCTGTGTCTGACATTTTTCACTCAACACTCTGTAAGACTCCTCTGTATTGGTGTGTGGAGCAATGGCTCATCCTGTTCCTTTTCTGTAGAGTGCCCTCCATCACCACTGCTCAGTCCAGTTTCCTACTGATGGCTATTTTGGTAACTTCTGGGTTTTGGCTATTATAAATAAGACTGCTATGAACAATCTAGAACTTGTCTTTTTAAAAATATTTTTTTTTGCTGCACTGTGGGGCATGTGGGATCTTAGTTCCCTGATCAGGGATCAAACCTGCACCTCCTGCATTGGAAACATGGAATGTTAACCAATGGACCATCAGGGAAGTCCCTAGAACTTGTTTTTTGGTCGACATATGGACACAGTTCTATTGTACCTAAAACAATTCTAGAATATCAAACCATAAAGCAGAATCTTGCAGTTTGAGAATCCTAGGGGAATAAATTCTAAGCTCTTAGAATTACAGCATATGTTATCCATGGGGTCTATCACTCCTAAGAAGGTAAACATTGGTTCTTGAGAGCAAAGAAAATCTTATCCTTTTATGTGTAAAGCAGAGATGTGCAGATAGCCCACAAACAGATTTATAGTATATCTGTGGTATTAACATTTCATGAGGGAACAAATGAAGGTTCTTAAAAAGTCTTCTTAGGGGAGTGATAATGAAAAAAGGTTGAGAAACACTGAAACAAAGGCATGGGAGATTCTAGAATCTTAGAAGTGTAGTGTCTGAAATACTTTAAATAGATAAACTCTTAGCCTTTTGCAATCACAGAGTATGTAAGAGCAGAAAACTCTAGAATTCCAGGATCTAGAATTGAAAGCCATTGACTGTCGGGACCTCCCTGGTCCAGTGGTCAGGACTCCATGCTTCCACTGCAGGGGGCACGGCTTCAATCCCACAGGGCCAAAAATAAAACACACACACAAAACAAACAGACAAATAAGAAAACCATTGACTCTCAAGGCTGGAAGGAACTTTCCAGATCAGCTTAGCCAGCAGCCTCCTTTCACAGAGAATAAAGCTAAGGCCCAGCCAGGGCCAAGACACGTCCAGCCACCCACACAAGCCGGGATGCAGGCAGCTTTCTCCAGAGCCCGATTCACACATTTCCCCAACTCTGCAAGACACCCACATAAGGGCCAAATCCTGCATAGTTTGCAAGTTGGCCTGTTGTGGCCTGGCACTCTCCGCTGTTCCTCAGGGCCTTGGGGACCTGCCTGGCTCCTATCAGGCAAAATGAAGCACCACCCAGACTCCTAGCTCCGAGAGATGCCCGTTTCCCTCCAGCTGGCAGGATCCGCCCACTGCCTGCCTCCAGGGCGGTGTGTTATGGCCGCCCTGCTGCCCCCCACCCCCCTACCCTCAGCTCTCAGGGACAAGGGGGCCAATTACCAATTAGCAGAGGTGGGCAGCGGAGGCACCAGGCTGAGAGTTGTTGGCAGCTGTGAGGCAGCGAGGGTGGGTCAGCACGGATTCAGCTCTGCACAGCTGGCTTCCCCATAGGAACCCCCCCCCCCCGGGATCACTGCCAACTTCAGAACCTGCAAGATGAAGGGGCTGGGATCTCTGGGTCTTGTTTTGGTCACAGGAGAAAGCGCCTTGGCTGGGGTTCCTGTCCATTACACAGACCTGAAAGCACATCCCCACTCGGCTATTCACTTCCTCTGTGACCTTATGCTAGTGACTTGACTCTCTTGTGCCTGATTCCTTAGTTATCAAAATTCAGCTAATAGTGCTTTCTCATCAGACTAGGTGAATTTATTTATTTATTTAAAATATGCATTTGTTTTCCTGTGCCAGGTCTTAGTTGCAGCATGCGGAATCTTTGTTTCAGCATATGAACTCTTAGTTCTGGCATGTGGGGTCTAGTTCCCTGACCGGGGATCGAACCTGGGCCCCCTTCATTCGGAGTTCAGAGTCTTAACCACTGGACCACCAGGGAAGTCCCCAGACTATATGAATTTAAAGTGATTATATCTGAAGAGTTTATTACCGGGTCTGGAATGTATTCACAATAACCCAGCAAGATAGGCATGCTTAGTCTCATTTTTCAGAAGAGGAAAGAGGTTTAGAGCAAATACTTGCCTGAACTCACAGCATGGCGAGTGTAGGAACCCTGAGGTCCCACACGGGGTAGAGGGGCTCTTACCCTAAAGGGGTGCAGGATGCTGAACTCAAAGGTGAGCTCCCCTGAGACGTAGGTTTCGTCTCTGCAGATGGCTGGCTACAGGACCAGAGCTTCTCAGGTGAGCTCCGTCTACCTGACCCTCCTTCAGCTCCGCCCCGCCCCTCGACCCCGCCCCCCGTCAGCCAGCTCATCATCCCCTCTCCCATTCCAGGACTCTACTTCGCGCCGCTGGTGGCAGGGGCGGTGGCCGTGGCCGCTTTCGCTCTGGGCGCCGGGACCTGGGGCTGCCGCCGCTACCGGAACGGAGATGCAGTTAAGGAACCGCGCAGGTAGCTGAGCAGAGGACCGAAGGTTCCCAAGAGCACCGCCATCCCCTGGCGATCGGAACTGCATCTGCTTGACTAGGCGGGAACGCATCCCCTTCTGGTTTTGATACCTGCTCCTTTCGGAAGGAGGGAGGGTGAGGCTGGGGGGCAGACAAGAGGAATGGATGGGGAAGGCTGGCCCCTACCCCAGGGTCATAGACAAAGCCCCCAGAAAGTGGGCTGGAGAGGACCAGGCTCTCTTAAATGACTGTCCCCTCTTGGTGTCATCTCCCACCCCACCCCCCAATGCAGGCAGTCCATTCTACAGCAACGTTCTATACCGGCCCCGGAGAGTCCCAAGGAAGACTGAGGCATGGCCTGTGGAAAGGAAGGTGCTGGACAGTGAGGATCAGAAGGGCCAAAGCTTCTATTTGATCTCTTTCCCCCAGTGCTCCACCCCCAAGTCGCATCTGGCTCCCAAATCTTGCCCCAGACCCAGATCCATTCACCCCATCTCTGCAGTCAGAATCTCTCCTGGCCCAGGTTCCTCTGGGCAGCCAAGGTCAAGAGGGTTCCTTGAAGTGGGAAGAGAAATTAGAACCCAGGAGAGCCAGAGAAGACCGCCCCCCAGTGACTATATAAAGATGTGACTTATTCCTAGGGGATCACAGAGTCCAGCAGTTTATCCTAGAGACCCCATCCTTGTTTTTATGAGGATAGACCTCTCCCTTGTCCCAAGAACATCCAATAAAGGTTCATGAAGAAAGCAAAGCCAGTATCCGTGGCAATTTTGCAGTGCTAGAGATTTGAGCTATTAGGGAGTCATCTGGGGGGTGCAGTCCTGGAGGACGACTCTGGTGAGGGCGCTTGAAAGCTTTCCCCCTCTTATCCTTGGAGGGTCATGTCCAATTAGCAGAGAAGTGATGTCCCTCACTTCCAAACAGTGCCTGGAGCTGGAAGCACGCCCCCTCCCCAACTGGTGTCTACCCCCTCCCTAGGCAGGATTGGAGTTAGGGGGTGAGGGGGGAGATTGGGGCTTCCTGGCATTTGTCAGCCCCCTGGGGTCTCCTGCCCAACTGTCACCTTGAAGTGACACCAGCTGAGCCTGGCTCCCCTCCCCCACGTCTGCTGTTTCCATGGGGACAGATGTCCTTTTCGGCAGCAGCATCAGCCCGTGGCCACCGGCCCAGGATAGTAAGGAGGGGTGGGGTGGAGGCAGGGTTGGCCTTAGAGCTTCGCCCCCTCGGTTTCGCCATCTTTTTAATCAGCGGACGTCTGCTGTCTCCAGGTTTTATCTGCCTCCATACCGCGCTCTCCCTGCCTGTCAACAGCTCTTTGAATGTTGGTCCCTCCCTGTGAACCATTCAGACTCCAACCCTGGCTCCACACCAAAAACATGGAGCTGGGGATGCAGGTCTCCACGGGTCTGCCTCCCCTCTTCCTTCAGGGGTTGAGCTCCCCCTCCCAGAAAGAACACTTGAAACACACAATAACTTATTTATTTTCCAGGCCAGAGGAGGGGTTCCAGACACAGTTCTGGGCCCTAGAACCCAGAAGGGGGCCAAAGAGGGCCTGGAGGAGCAGAGATCTCTCCATCCAGCCTCCCCCAGGACTGGAAAGACCTCCAGCGTTTGCAGCCAGTGATCTGGGGTCTCACAGCCCAGGGTACAGGGCTGAGGCTCCAGGTCAGGGGGTCTGTGAGACCAGCGGGTACAGGAGGGCCAGATGCTCGGCGCCCTGCACGGGCAGCGGGCGGGAGCTGTAGTGGAGCACCAGTGCCGGCACACTGGGGAAAGGGCCGCTGTGCTGACCCAGCACGAACTGGTTCTCTCGGGTGCGAGCGAACTTCAGGTGCAGGAAGCCCTGGCTGCTCCTGGGGACAGGGGTCAGGTCAGAAGGGGTACCCAGCACTTGAGGCCCGCCCACACTCTCCACCCTTAAAGTCACTCCCTGGAGGACCCTAGGAACCCGAGCCAGGAATCCCCAAATATTTCTGGTTAACAGCCACTTGGCATCAAGCTGTTGACTCGTTCCCCACGGTGGGATGCCATCTGCGCTTGTCCCCTGTGAAGACAGGCTGGAGTTCCTCCCAGTCGGAGGTCCCTCCCCAAGGACACAGAAGGCCCTTTCTCGCCAAACCTCCCGACCCCTTGTGCTACCCATCCTGGTTACCCTTAATCAAGGGACCCCCAACCCCCCCCCTTTTTTTTTTGCTTTTGGCTTTTCCATGAGGCTTGCAGGATCTTAGTTCCCTGATTGTACACTCACCCATGGAGTCCTAACCACTGGACTGCCAGGGAATTCCCTAGGGTCCCTTTCCTTTACATCTCTGGTAGGTGAATGACATAGAACCTGGATATGACTCTATTACCATCATTAGTATGAATTAAGTGCTTCCTGTTTCCTGGGCATTCTTCTCAACACTTTTTCACTTTCCCCCCTCTTTTAATCGTAGTATTACAACAAACTGGATGCTATTATTGTCTTTGTTTCACAGATGAGGAAACCGAGGCCCAGAGAGGTTGAATGATTTAGCTGAGGTCACACAGCTAGGAAGTGGGAGAGGCAGGATATGAATCTACTTCCAAACCCTCTTCTATCTTGACCTTTTAGGAATCTCACACTCAGAAACCTGGTAGAATCTTAGGAGCGTTTTGTAATCAGACACACTTAGAATCTTAGGCAGAGAAGCACGTAGAACCAGGGTATCAAACTCAAACGTCTACAGGGCCACTGAGATTTTGGCCCTGGATTGACACAAATGGATATACTTTTAAACCTGGGAGGAGTCCAAAGGAAACTTGGACACCTAGTTCCTCATCTCACTGAAGTTCTAGATTTACTGTATGGCTTCCTTTCCATTTTCTTGCATACCTCCAGTGACAGGGAGCTCATTCTCAGTCAGAACCATGCCGGTAGCCTCTCTGGAAGCCCCGCCTTCTGACCTAGAAGCTCTGCCCACCGCTCCCATAAGCCCCACCCACTGGCCTGAAAGCTCTGTCCATCCGCCCTGGAAATCCCGCCCATTGGCTCCTGGAGCCACACTCCTCTTCTTTGCATTCAGTCAAAGGCTTGACATCGAAGGCATGCAGTCCTGTGACCCTCTGTCCCTCCAGAGGATTGGGGTCTCACCTGAGGGACAGGGAGCAGTCTTGGGGGCTGGTCTCACTGAGCCGCACAAGGTAGCTGCCTTCCTTGCAGAGTGACAGGAGGTTCTCGGCATCTGCCCGGCTCAGCAGGCCGTGGAACCACCTAGGGGGTGGGGACAGATGTCTCCTGAAGGCGATCCCCCTTCCAACACGTCCTGAGGCTGGATGCAGGCACAGCTCATTCAAGGACTTGTGACATCCAGGCAAACAAGGGAGACAAATTCCCTTGGATTTCTCAAGAGGAACTTAGGGTCTCTTTGGGAGGCAGGTAAACCCAGGCCCACCACCCTCTAATTCAACATGTACCCTCGACTTTGATCTTTGCAGCCTCCCTCAGGTGAGTGCCCAGGTGTCCTCAACCCCTCCCTCCAACTTGCATCACTTGCACATCACTTTCATGAGGTTTGCTGCATCCTGTATCTCTTGAGAGTCCCTTGGACAGCAAGGAGATCAAACCAGTCAATGCTAAAGGAAATCAACCCTGGATACTCTTTAGAAGGACTGATGCTGAGCTGAAGTTTCAATGCTTTGGCCACCTGATGCAAACAGCTGACTCATTGGAAAAGACCCTGATGCTGGAAAAGACTGAAGGCAGAAGAAGAAGAGGACAGAGGATGAGATGGTTGGATGGCATCACCGATTCAATGGACATGAACTTGGGCAAACTCTGGGAGATGGTGCAGGACAGGGAAGCCTGGAGTGCTGCAGTCCATGGGGTCACAGAGTCAGACACGACTTTGCATCTGAACAACAGCAACATATCCCCACCTACCTGTAAATTCTTTACATAATACTTTTCTTTAACATGCTCAAACAGAGGGAGCAAAGTGTCAAAGACCAATGAGCACCAAGAAGTCGTTTGTATTGAAAGAAAATACCCCGTGCTTGTGTTAATTAGGTAGTCCTGTACCACCCACCTAAGAGGTTTGGGAATAGCTGTGCTAAACACACTCTGGTACTTACAGGGCTAGGCTCTCAGGGCTCAGGGAGTACTTTGAGGAACATCTAGGCTAGAGGAACACAGAACACCCAGACTTTCACAGCTTGTGAGCTTCATTCCAGCCTAAAGTTGAAACTCCGTCAAAATCCTGATCCTCACACTTTCACCGCAAGATCTCTTGGGGGTGAGAATGATTTTTGTCTCTTCTCTCTCAGGCTTATAAACCCCACCCAAGGAAAGGGAGGAAATCCCTATTCTGTGTGAGGCAGGCACTCTCTTGGAAGTGTTGAGTCCGAGCTTTAGAGAGGTTGAGTGACTTGCCCAAGGTCACAGAGCCAAAAATTACAGAGAAGGGATTTGAACCCACAATCTGATGCCAGAGGGAGTGGAGACACCTGATTTTGCTTTGCACCGAGCTGTGTGTCTAGCGCACAGCAGACACTGTCACCCAGTGAAGATTAGTTGAAGAAATGAATGAAGTGAATGAGTGAATCCAAGTTCCTCCAGTCCCCCTGGTCCGAGGAATCTGTGACTGGTATGGGGCAGGGAGGGATTCAACCCGGCTCTTCCATCTTCAGCTTCCTCACTTACGGCTGTTTTTCCAGGGGCAGGGCCGGGTCCACGCGCTCTGCAGGCTGGGGGCTTCTGGGCGGGGGTCTCCGGAGCTCCTTGGCTGACCCCGAGGTTCTTTCCCACTCTGGACTGTCAAACTGAACTGAAGGGGAAGGTTTAAAGAGAAAATGGTTAAGTCCCGCCTATCTCAAGAGGGTGGGATAGGAGCAAGCCAATGGGATTTCAGTAGGAAGGCGGTGCCAGCTTAGGGTGACCTATCAGAATCCAGAAGAAGAAGGGTTGGGTTTAAGGTTGGGGATGGATTGGTATATGAGCAACCAATTAGCCTTCAGAAGAAAGGGGTGTGGTCATTCCTGAATCTGGTGGCATGGAAGGTGGCCAGTTCCCTCAATGAGAAATCAGAGAGCAGGGGACGTGGCTAGAGGGGCAAGTGGGAATTCCGCGAGATTTTGGCCAAGTCATAGAGAATGTAGAATGTGTTAGTCGCTCAGTCGTGTCCGACTCTCTGCGACCCCATGGACTGTAGACCACCAGGCTCCTCTATCCTTGGAATTCTCCAGGCAAGAATACTGGAGTGGGTTGCCATTCCCTTCTCCAGAGGATCTTCCCGACCAGGGATCAAGCCTGGGTCTCCCGCATTACTGGCAGATTCTTTGCCGTCTAAGTGACCAGGGAAGCCCAGAGCTAAACAATCACCCTCGATTTACAGACTGGTAGACTGAGGCACAGCTCCAATTTCCCTCACAACTATACACCTTTTTGGGCAGATTTGCGTTCACACAACTCTTCCTGGACCAAGTTATTTTATTTCTTAAAGGTGAACTTGAAAGTGAAAAGTGGAAGTTGCTCAGTCGTGTCCGACTCTTTCTGACTCCATGGACTTATACAGTCCGTGGAATTCTCCAGATCAGAATACTGGAGTGGGTAGCCTTTCCCTTCTCCAGGGGATCTTCCAAACCCAGGGATCGAACCCAGGTCTCCCACATTGCAGGTGGATTCATTACCAGCTGATCCACAAGGGAAGCCCTAGGTGATCTTATTATTCCTCTTTCTACAGAAGAGGAAACAGGTTCAGAAACTTGTCTAAGCTTACCCAACTCAGGAACTGACTCTAAGAAATGCTACTCTCTTCCCCAAGGCTCCTGTGTAATTGAGTACTTTTTACTCAATAGGTACAAGTTAGAGAACTGAGACTCAGGGAGATAAAGTCATTTGCCCACATAAGAGACACAAACCCAGATCTAGTCCTGACACCAAGCCTATTCCTGCACTATAGTGAGCAGAATGAGTAGATTCCATTGCACTCGAAATGGGGTTTCATGGAATTCCCTGGCGGACCAGTGGTTAAGACCACGCTTTCACTACCAAAGGCCTGGGTTCAATCCCTGGTCTGTGAACTAAGGTCCTGCAAGCCTTATGGCATAGTCAATAAAATAAGATAAAATAAAAATAAATAGATTAACTAAAGGGGTTTCAGTTTCCAAGGAAGATACAGGTTCTCCTGGAAAGAAAAACTTATGACTATCAGTCATTCACACTTTAGTGAGAATTAACAAACTACCAAAGTGACTAGTGATGGAGGTTTACTTTGTTCGTTGAAACAGCAGATATGACCAGAGCAGAAACTAGAGGGACACAGATCTTCAGAAGTCAGGGTAAGAGAAGCACCTGCAAACGCCTTGGAGATATGGTCTTTCTTCCACTCCCAGGGCTGGTCATACTCGTCTGCTGGCCGCTCATCCTCCTGGGGCAGCCGACTCTGTCGAGGTTTCTGCTCTGAAGGGGGCCCATCTCCCAGTTCTTGGTCCTGCTCCTCATAGGGAGTGTCATACAGCTGCACCCTCCTGCATGGCAGTTCTGGGAGGCCAAGGACACTGCTCAGCTCCCACTCCCACCTGGGAGCCTGTCACCTTCCCTCCAAGCCCTGCTCACTCACCACTCATGACCCGCTGGGCATCGTAGGGCTCCATGTAGCCATCATCCGGGGGTGGTGGATGGGGCTGGGCATCAAAGGGGTCCGAGTACTCGGTGTCGACTTTCAACTGGACAGAGAAAGGCAAGAGAGGGGGTCAAGGACTCAGGGGGACCAAGCCTAGCTCTGGGTACCCAGCATGGGTACAGTACACCTCTTGCCTGCTGTCTCTGATCTATCTGATACACCCTGTCCAAGCAAGTGGGTTTTTTTCCACCCACAAGTGTTTGCAAGTACATCATCCTTTGCTCTCTTCCTCTGACCCCTACCTCCCTCCTTCAATCATTTTAATGTTTATCAGGTGCCAGTACTGTTCCAAAAGACTTCAAATATATTTACTGGTAGTACCAACACTCAGTAAGTACTTCATCCCCATTTTACAGATGAGGGAACCAAGGCAAATACAGGGCAAGTGACTTGCTCAGGGTCACACAGCTGATAAGTCAGAGGCAGGGTTTGAGCCTAGGTTGTCTGCTTCCCCGAGTCCCTGCCTCCTCCTACCTTTCTCTGTGCCATTAACCACTACCAGGCAGGCTCCTCTGCCCATGGGATTTTCCAGGTGAAAACACTGGAGTGGGTTGTCATTTCCTTCTCCAGGGGATCTTCCCGACCCAGGGATGGAACCCGGATCTCCTGCATTGCAAGCAGATTCTTTACCATCTGAGCCACCAGGAAAGCCCCACTACCAGACACAGCCTCCCATAATTCCCCCTGAAGTCTTTTCTGTCTCTGCTGATGGTGTACGGTGGACCTTCTGATCTTTTAGGTAAAAAAACTGAAAAAAAAAAAAAAGTATGGGCATTGGAAGCAAGTCTGGTTCAAGTTCTAAACAAGCTAGAGCCATGTGACCTTGGGCCAGTCACTTTTGTTCTGTGAGCCTCAGTTTCCACTTCGGAAAATGGGAGTGTAACAGAGGAAGGGTGGAGAGCGGTGGTGAGGATGTTGAAGTGCCCCATAGGAAACTGACTCACTCAGGTCTGTTTGAGGAAGATCCCTTCAGCTTCTAAGAGGAAGGGAAGCTGGGGGAAGGGATCCAGAAGTGGGGACTTAGGAAGCTGGAGGAAAGGGGTACAAAGCCAATGAAGAGGGAGGCGGGCAACAAGCGCTGTGCATTGAAAGGAGACAGACATCCAACTGCCAAGCAGGTGGGGGATTGGGGGAAGTGGGCTGGTGCCCTGGTCTGCCCCTGGGGTAACACCTAAACAAGCTCCCCAAAATCCAGGGTGGGCGTTCCAGCCTGGCCCTCCCCACCCAGTCTCCGGGGCCCACCCAGCTTAGGGGGCTTAGCCACGCACCTCTTCCCCGGGGCTTCCCAGCAAGACCTTGGCTCTGGCAATGTCGACTGCCTCCACCTTGATGAGCCGGTGCTTTGGAGAGGCGTACTTGGCGTCTCCAGGGCCCTTGGAGTCCCCGGGCCCCGCGGAGGAATCCGGCTCTAGGCGGCTATCGGCGTCCTCGTAGGGGTCCTCAAAGTCCAGATCCTTCTGCTCGCGGTAGGCCCGCAGGATGTCGCTCTCGGTGTAGTCGGGGGTGGGCGGCTGCGGAGGGGGCCTCCGACCCCCAAAGCTCAGGTAGTCTCGGAGCCACTTGGCCATCTGAACGCGTGTCACCCCAAACCTGGCCACTGTCAGAGGGGGACCCGCATGCCCTCTTCTGGGCCCTCTTCCTCGGCAGGGTCCCCAGGGAGAAGGTAGGAGGGGAAGGAGGAGGAGAAAGATCAGGTGTGCCCTTTGGCTGCGCTCAGAGGAGGGTGAAAAGGGGATAAAAAGAAGGAGACAAGAGGAGGGAGTGGAAAGGAGGAGCAAAATTGCACCTTAGCCCAGCTCTGGAAGGACGGCGTGGAAAGCGGGCGTCGCGCGGGGCCCTGAACGCCGAGCGCGGGGTAGTCCGGCCGGAGCCAGGGGCATCCGCGGAAGCGCGCGGAGTTTCCGCGGGCAGAGCGGTCTCGTGCGCGGCGCGGCCACCCGCCGCCTCCGGGAAGCTCTGGAATCCCCCTCCTGGGAGCCGAGGGCGGGGACAGCGCCGCCAGCGGACGCCCCCAGCCTTGGCTCAGCCCGGACGCCTGGGTTCTCAACGCAGCGGGCGGGCTCCCCGGGGGAGCGGGCGCCGCGCGCAAAGTTGGGCCGCGGGGACGGTGACCCCGGTGGGGCGCATCCTTTGTTGCGCTCCTCGCCTCTCCGGGGGGAGCCCCAAGCCCGGGGTCCCCGGCCCCGCCGCCTCGATTCGGCCCGAGTCACGGGCACAAAGGGAAATAAAATCTCCTCCAATCCCCCTTCACGCTTTAGGAGAGACTTTCACCGCCGCCGCCGGCGCGCGACCGGGAGGTGGGACTTTGGGGAGGGGGCGCTCGGCCGGGCGGGAGCCCCAGTCCCTACCAGCCCCGGGCCGCGTCCAGGGCAGGGACGTCAAGGCTTCCCCGCCTCCCCCTCCGCGGGTTCCCCCGCCCCCGCCCCTCCCCCTGAGCGCCCCTCCGAGGTGACTGAGACCTTCAGCTGTTCTGGGGAGGGAGGAGAGCCGCTGCCCGCGGAGGGAGTGGGGGGGATGCGCAGCGGGAGTCGCTGGGGCCGAGGCCGCGGCGGTTGGACAGTGACCCGGAGGACCGAGGCTGGCAGGAGCGAGCGAGGAGCGCGGGAGGCGGGAACCCACGGGCGCTGACCTTGCTCTGCAGAGCAAGAGGTGCTGAGGTGGGGAAGACGAGAGGAAGGCGAGGTGGAAATTGACCAGGAAAGGGGGTGGGCTGGACTTGACCGCGAGAAGGGGTGAAATTGACCAGCAGAGGGGGTGAGAGTGACCGCTATTGAGGGCTGAAATTGAACCAGGGTCTGGCAGCGAAACTGACCAGGAGAATGGGGGTGTGGAAACTGTTCCAGAGGTCATTGGCTAAAATGGATATTGACGCCGCCGCCGGAGGAAGTAGGGGGGGGGACAGAAGGGAAGGGGTTCTGGCTTCCCCTCCCCTAAGAGGGCTTTCCTCTGTCCCTCCTCCCCCCAGGGACCCATTGCGGGAGGGGGGAAGGGAGTTGGGACAGCTGGCCAGGGGAAGGGAGATGGTATCAGTGCCTGGCGTGTGTCTTCAGCATCTGTCCCTTTGTGGCTTCTGGGGGTGGAGGGAGGGAGGGAGCAGAAACGAGAGGGGGGGGGGTCTCGCCTGGTTTGGCTGCCTCTTGGCAGCTGCAGCTGTCTGGGGGCGAGGACACAAGGATTGGGGGGAGGAGGAGAGCCCAGGGAGCTGCCGACCAGTCCCAAGAGACACATTTTTTTTTCTTTCCCCATAGAGGGGCTTATTCAGGGACCCCTAATAGAAGAATAAGAGAAGGGTGGTCAGGAAGGATAGGACCTCAGGCTCCCTTCTCCAAGCCCCTTAGAGTGGGTGGGTGCCCGCAGCTTGGCAGGGAGGGGAAATAGACTGGAGTCAGAGCTAACACTGCTATAGAGCTGCACCCCCTCCCTTCAGAACAGTGGGGCCCTGGCAATGTCTCTTGATTTGAAAAATGGGGCTTCTAATAGGAAACCCTCAGAGAGCGGGGAAAGGATTACCAGGAGGGAATGACTTATTTTTCACCCCCCGTGGGGAAACCAAGGAGGAACAGAGAACAGAGAGACACCTCACAGCTTAGTTCTGCCCAGGTGCCATGATGTGGCCTGGCGTGGAGTGTCATTCAACACCCATCAGGTCTCTTCATGGAGTCAGAGATTCTCCATCTCCCCTGCACTGTTAGCCCCATTTTCCAGATGGGAAAACAGGTCCAGAGCCAGCAAGGCAAGGTCCCTCACAGCAGCAGGGGTGTCCAGATGCCCTCCCCTTCCCTTTCCTGCTTCGACTGAGTCGTTGGACACAAACCTGTTGAATTTGGTCCTCCCCAATCTCCCCAAAGAGCATTCACACCCCCCACCCCACCCCACCCCACCCCACCCTCAGCGTTCAGCTTCAAGGCAGCATCCCTGGGGACTGCCAGGGAGCACAGCGGGTAATTGTCCTGTTTTCTGTCATCCGCAAGGCAATTCCCTGGCTCCAGGATGAGCTGTTGACAGATCTCATCAAACCCGAGTCCTCTCCCTGTCAGATAAATACACGATGTCTAAGGTATAAATATTTGAAAGGGGCCTTCTAATTACAGTATGTGTCAGGAATAGCAATTAGGGGCCCTGGAGGCAGAATCAAACGGCGTTTGACTTCCCTGTGCTTTTGAGCCGGCTTCTCCTGGGGCTGCCCCGACTCCCACCGCAGGAGCAGGGAGGGGGCTCGGGGAGCGAGAGGCGGTGGACGAAGGGTAGAGCTGGGCTAGGGGTCCCACAACCCTGTGGTAGTGTGACCTTGAACAGCCGCGTAACCTCTTGGGTTTTTCCTTTTAATTAGGGGAATGGGGAGCAAGGGAGCCAAGCCAGGAGGCGGGCACTGTCTGGACAAAGGCAAGGAGGTGGGTGGTCTGGGGTCCTGGGCTGAGGGAACTTCCCTTCCCCCAGCACTCAGGGTCCGAGAGATGGTTTCTCCAGGTTTCCTCCCAGGTGGCGCTCTGTTTCTGGAATCCCAGCCCATGTGACCTTGTGTTAAGTGACCTGGCTTTGTTTTCCTGTCTGTGAAATGGGACAACAGCCAGCCACTGTTGAGCGCTTACTGCCTTACACTGTTTTGGGTGCTTTAAAGATTTTTGAGATATAATTCACATACCCCACAATTTACCCACTCAAACTATATTTCCATGGGTTTTAGTATGTTCACAAGGCTGTGTGACCATCAGTAATTTCAGGATATTTTCATCACCCCCCAAAGAAATCTCCACCTGAAATTAGGGGTCACTTCCGGTTCTTCCCAGACCCTCCCCCCCCAACCCCCAATCCCTGGCAACCATCAAGCCATTCTCTGTCTCTGGAGTTTGCCTGTTCTGGACGTTTCATATAAATGGAATCACAGTGTGACCTTTTGTGTCTTGGCTTCTCTCACTGAGCATCACGTTTTCAAAGTTCATCCAAATTATTGTGTGCCCATGTTTCATTTCTTTTTATGACCAAATGATATTTCCTTGTATGGCACACAGTAGGTGCTCAATATATGCTTACGGTGGCTGGGACATCAGGAAGAAGCAAGAGGAGGTCCATGGCTGGGGGTCCCCATACCTGCAGTAGGGATGGGAGCCAAGGCACTAGGACAGGTGGGGACCAGGTGGGGGTGACCCATGATGGGGCTTGAAATCTCCCGATCTGATGGAGGGGATGTTGCCTCAACTTAGGGGCTCCTAGTCTGAAAGGAGAGACGACCTCTGCCCTCAGAATCTCCTGGACACAGCCCTGCCTTTCTTAGCTCACAGTCTGATGGGAGAGACATGGTCCTGCCCTGGGAAGCCCCCAGTCTGATGGAGGAGATATATGCATGTCTTAATAAGCTTCCAGTCTGAAGGGAGTGGCATGGCTCTGACTTAAGGAGCTTTCAGTCTGATGGAGGAGGCGTGATCCTGCCCTTTGAAGCACCCAGTCTGATGGGGGAAATATGTACTTGCTTTCAAGGGCTCTCAGTCTAACAGAGACATGGCCCTGCAGGGCCCATCTCCAAACGGATGGGGGAGGCACCGACCAGCCCCTGGAAGCTCCCACTCTATAGGTCCTGGTGATCAAAGGTGTAGCCTCCGAGCCTTGCGCTTTCAAAGCTAGGTCCTGCCCCTCACCCACTCTGTGAAATGGGGAGCATCTGCCTGAGGGCATGGGCGTGTAGGGAGCTCGAGAAGCAGGAGCAAGCAGGAGCAGCCCCTTGTCTCTTTGTGGAGCCCAGGCTCAGGCAGGCAGGGGCTCCAGCAGAGCGGGGGCCACCCCCAAAGTCCAGTCCCTCTGATGTGCTCCGGCAGCCAGGCAGCCCCCAGGGGAGTTGATGGAGGAGATTCCGGATGAGGCCTGACAGCTCCCAAGGACCAGATGACAGACATGGAGCTCGTGGGGAATGGGACTGTCAGCAGCGAGGGGGGAAGGGCAGGCTCCAGAGACTAAAAAGGGGGAGATGGTCTGGGGGAGGCAGGCTCAAGGCAGGCAGTAGGTGCAGGGTGAGGCCCTGGACGGTCAGCACACAGGACAGACCCCAATGTGTTGCTATGCAGTCCCTCTGCCTAGCCTACCCTGGAAAACCCAGCAAGGCAATTGGGGGCTGAGAGCCAAACTGTTCCCAGGACATGGGTGGGAGAACAAAGTGTAAAGCCCTGCAGCAAAAATAAGAATGAAAGAAACAATTCCAGCACGGTGGAAAGGGGAGGGCGGCAGAGAGCTGGCAGAAGCATGTGGTTCCCTGGGCCTCAATTTCCTCCTCAGTGAATGAGGAGATACCCACTCAGGCCATACACATTCAATGAACATCTACAAAATACAAGAATGGTCTCAGGTGCCCGGGACACTCGTCAACACACAGACTCTTGCAAAGCCTGAGGGGTCTGCAGGTAGACCCTGGAGTGTTTCAGCCTCAGCCACCATGGGTAGCCCCCATGACCCCAGCCTCCTGGTGGTCGCATCCACGTGTGAGCACCTCCCCTGCAACATGGTGTGGGGCGCTGTGTGGCTGCTTCCAACCAGCAGAACGTAGCAATGGTGATGGGCTGTCACTTCTAGGAGACTCTCCCCCTCAGGAGGCCAGCCGTTGGAGAGGTCTATGCAGGCAGGAAACTGAGGGTGGCTTCTGGCTGAGCGTCTGAAAAGTGAATTCTGCCAGCAACCACATGGGTGAGCTTTGAAGTGGGTCCTTCCCCAGTCAGGCCTTCAGATGAAACCCCAGCCCTGGCCAACATCTCAGCTGCATCTGTGACAGACTCAAGCCAAGAACGCAGTGAACCACCCCAGATTCCTGTTGTTTAAGCTGCTAAGTTTGGGGATCATTTGTTATGCAGCGTTAGGTAACCAATACAGGGAGCCATAGGCAGTACACATAACTCCTAAGGTAGCCCCATCAGAACTTTCCTATCCTGCTTGAATTGCATCATGGTTAGCACCACCTCTAGTGTCATTTGTTTATCCTATTATGGTGTATGACAGTACCTATTTTGGCTTTGTAGGTCACAGAATGTCTTAACCAGGGAGCAAAGGCAGTCATGGGTGACGTGCACACAAATAGGTGTGTTGGTGTGCCATAAAACTTTATTTACAAAGACAGGCCACGGGCTAGATTTAGCCAGATTTGTAGTTTGGTGACCTGTGTTTTAGGATGAAATTAGGTTCACACTTAATAATACTAAGTAAATAATAGTAACGGACGGTGCACATACATGGCAAAAACTGCAGTGAATTGAGAGCAATGGGAGTTCCAGAAACAGTCTGAAAGAATCAATCAAAATGAGGAATTTCCCTGGTAGTCCAGTGGTTAAGAATCTGCCTTCCAATTTAGGGTACGAGGGTTTGATCCCTGGTTGGGGAGCTAAGATCCCACATGGCACAGGGCAACTAAGCTCATGTACCACAACTAAGACCTGATGCACCCAAATAAATAATTTTAAAAAGTAAGCCAGAGAGCTCCCAACCCAATATCTTTTCACAACTACTTAAGCTAGATGACTTATTCATTTTTTCTATTTTATTTTTAAATTTTGGTCACACTGCGCAGTTTATGGGATCTTAGTTCCCCAACCAGGGATTGAACCCCGGGCCTGCAGCAGTGAAAGTACCGAGTGCTAACTGCAGAAGTCCCCGGATGATTTGTTTTTACCCAGAGCCTCTGAAAGGCCTACATCCCAGGCACTGACAGCAGGATGTGGAGTTGGGGGAAAAAAGGGCAGTGGTGTGCTGGCACGGGCTTCACCACTGGCTCCTGCAGCCTCTGCTGATTCCCATGGTGTAAACACTCCTGAGGTGGCAGGCGTTAAGCCATAAACATGGTGCGGTTGAGTGCAGAACTGGGAACAGAGCTGCATGAGGCACCAGTTCTTACTAGCTGCTAGCGTGGTGGGCCTGCCCCAACCCCACTGTTGGGGCTTGGGAACCAGGCCTCCCTGGCCTCTTTGCAGCCTCAGAGCCTTGATGTGAAAGCCCCCGAGCCCCCGCTGGAAGCCCTAGCGGGATCTTGGTTCACCTCTGTGCAATCCCTAAGCAGGAAAATTGCTGTAGGAAAGCAGATCCCCAATGTGGGGGTGGGGTGGGTTTCACCCCACAAACTCTGACACTGAAAACCACAAAGCCTCTTTATTCAAAGGACGAATGAAAGCCTGTAAGTATGTGTGTGTGAGAGAGAAGGGCTGATGTCAGTGACCCCAGGAAGGGCGGGAGAGAGGAGATGGAGGTTCATTAGATTGTGAAGGGGCTTCCCAGGTGGCTCTAGTAGAACCTGCCTGCAACTCAGGAGCCACAGGAGACTCAGGTTCGATCCCTGGGTCAGGAAGATCCCCTGGAGGAGGGCACGGCAACCCACTCCAGTATTCTTGCCTGGAGAATCCCATGGACAGAGGAGCCTGGCAGGCTACAGTCCATAGTCACAAAGAGTTGGACACGACTGAAGTGACAGAGCACACATTGCATGCGCAGGCTGCAGAAGTGTCTGCTGGGGGCACAGGACCTTCAACTAGAAAACACTGTAGTCAGAGGGGATTACATGAGGTGGAATCCGGCAACCTTGAAAGAACAGGAGGTTTGGTGTCAGACTCGCTGGTCTCCTGACTTTATCAGCTTTCTACACATTAGCCCCAAACTGAGCCTACAAAATAATGAGAATTTATTAGCTGGTGGTTTCTGAGAGTCAGGGGTCCAGGACTGGCTAGGCTGTGTGCCTCTGACATCCCATCCTCAGACACTGATAAAGAGAAGGCGCCCAGGCCATCAGCAGGTTCTTTCCATTGATTGCAGATGGTTCTGTGGTGGAAAGCAATGGAGCCCAGCCAGAGTGATGGGTGATGGGTGGTGGGTGGTGGGTGGTGGGTGGGCCCACCCCAGGGACTGTCACAGAGACAACCTTGAAGCTGCTCCAGGATGTTGCAGTGTGACCTGGGGACCTGAGCTCCAGAGGGCAGGGGGACAGTAAGAAAACTGAGTCCCTCAACTAAAGTCTTTGCTTGCCCTGCCGGCCTCGGAGGACATTTGTGCTTGTCCAGTTGTGATTCTGCTTGCTTCCAAGGCTTCTGGCCCGGACCACGGCCGCAGCTGGCTGTGTGACCTTGATCAGGGAAGGGCAGGTGGGACTCAGTTGCTGCCGCTGCTGTCCTCACTGTCAGAATACACACCCAACTGGCTCAGGGAGGACGTGCTGGGGGTCTGGGGCGCTGGGCCAGCTGCCTGTCCATTCTTCATTGCACCTGGGGGAGAGGCAAGAGCTAGCAGTCACCTTAGGACAGTTGCAGGCAGGCCGAGCCTGGGGGAGGCCAGGAGAACAGGACCGGCCATTCCTGCTTGTGTGCAGCCTTTCTGTAAAGTATCTGGCAGACCTCTCACAGTTTAAACCCACACACCCCTTGACCCAGCAGCTCCACTTCTGAAATTGGACCCGGGTGGACACAGGCACCCTGCTGGGGGTGCAGAAAATAGAAATGCTCCAGGTCCCAAGTGAAGCCAAGTACCATGGTGATAAAGAGGGGTGGACCTTGGTTCCACCACTCACCCCGGCTGTATGGTTCTGGGCAAGTGGTTCCACCTCTCTGGGCCTCAGTCTCCTCATCTGACAAACGGAGAAGTAACTGTTTTGATAAACATGGTCACGCATCTGTAAGGCTTGCTGGGCGCCAGGATCTACTGCAGGTGCCTGACTTGGAGTATCTCAGGGAACTGGCCCCAAACCTTCTGAGGACCCATGAGGCTGATCCTGTTATCACCAGCATCTTCCAGGACAGGAAGCTCAGGCCCAGGGCAGGGGTGAGGGCCCTGGACCCAAGCACATGGAGGCATGGGGGGTCCTGCTCTTTCCACCTCACAGGGCCCACCTCACCCTAATTCTCCTCCTCCCTAGGGCCCCGGGGCCACACACAGCATCGATGACACAACAGCCAAGATGCGGATGCCCAGCACCTGACTTGGGAAGCTGGGGCCACTGTCCATGTATGGGGTATTGGCAGCCATGAGATCAATTTATCCTACAGGCCTCTGAATGGGGTTTTTAAAGCGAACACTTGTTCCTTTTGGGCTTCCCCGATGCCTTGGTGGTAAAAAATCTGCCTGCCGAGCAGGAGATGTGGGTTCGATACCTGGGTAAGGAAGATCCCCTGGAGAAGGAAATGGCAACCCACTTTAGTATTCTTGCCTCGGAAATCCATGGACAGAGAAGCCTGCAGGGCTACAGTCCATGGGGTCGTGAAAGAGTCAGACACGACTTAGCAACTAAACAACAGCTTGCTCCTCTTAATTAAAAAGGAAACTCCAGCCCTTCTTGCCTCACCCGGCTGTCCTCTCAACAGAACAGCACCACCTGCTGGCTGCCTGAGGCGCTGCATGCAGCTAAGGGCCTGAACCTACCTGGGAGGGGCGGGGCTCCTCCTCGCTGGATGCTGGTGTCCAGGTCTGTTTTCTTCACAACCAGGCCCAACAGCTGGGGCCTGCTGCCAAGGGTACCCACGCTGCGCTCCCAGCTCTCTGCCTTCCTCTTGGCTTTCGGGGTCTGCTGGGGGTGGGGGATGCGGGATGCGACTGGGTGATTTGTCTCCGCTCTGTCCCTCCTCTGGCCTCCCTGCTCTCAGTCCCCAGCTGAGCCAGGATCTTTACCAGCCCCACGCCCCCTGTGGTGCTGACGAGCCCTCTCCCCCTGCTCTAAACTCCTCTGCGGCTCCCTTTGCCCTAAGCTTGGTACTCAAGGCCTCTGCCCATTTTCTATCCCTTACACCCTACCCTTACACTTCCTAAATCACATACACCAGGGTTGCTCACCTCCACATCTGTACCCACAACGTTCCCTCCACCTGGAATATCCCCTTTGTTTCGAGATCACTTGGTGAACTCCTACTCATCCTGCAGTACCCATCTCAAGTATCTGCAACCCTAAGACGCCTCTCCTCACAGTTCAGGCTCAGGTGAAAGCTGCATGTTTGTGTCCACAGTGCCCTCCACTGCTTTATTAACCACCTCCCCAGCCGCTGTGGGGTCCTGTGTGTTCACTGCGGGGTCTGCAGTAGGAGCTCAGTCTACAGCCATACCACCCTGAACACACCCCGCCTCGTCTGTAGTAGGTGCTCAATCAACACATTTGAGGGAATGAAGGGGGAGGCAGGCACCTCCCTGGTGCCTAGTGAGGGGGAGGGAACTAGTTAGGGGAAGACAGAAGGCGGCTCAGTCCACATCCAGCTCTTCAGTCTTATCAGAAGGGACCCCTTTTATGTTTGATGTTTAATTGAGGAACTGGAAACCACTAGAAGTAAGAGGCCCTGTTGGGGTTGGGGGTGCAGGGGGAGCACGACGGCAGGGGGCTGCCTGCACAGAGCTCACCATCTGGGGAGGAGAGAGGGTGGACGAGCAAGTGATGGTCAGGAAAACCACCATCATCTTTGTTTTTTTGGCTGTGCAGCATGTGCGATCTAGCTTCCTGACCAGGGATCGAAAATGTGCCTCCTGCACTGGCAGCATGAAGTCTTAACCACTGGACCTCGAAGGAAGTCCCAGGACACCATCGTCTTAATCAGTGATGGGAAAGAAAGAAGTCAGGGTGATGGACAGCGTGGGGGTGGGGGGAGGGGACAGGTGGTCAGGGGAAGAACCTGGTGAAGTCAGACATGAAGAAGTCAGCAAGCGAGAACGTGATATGGACTGAGCCTGGCCCATCTGAGGGGGCTAGCACAGTTAGGGTAGGGGCAGGGGGAGGAGGAGGACACAGCGGTCACACTGCATTCCCCCTGTGTGGTGACCAGGACAGATGCTGTCCACTGGGGTAACAGAGAGACTGGCAGTCCCAGCCAAAGCTTGCTCATCTGGCACCACTGAACTGACTGGTGGAATTAATTTCTGTCCTTCACGTTTTGTCAAACACCATCATGGGTTCCCATTAAACTAAACCCAGGGGACAGAGGGGTGAAAAGAGATTCTTCTGTAAAGTTACGGTGAAGTTTGTGTAATGCCTAACAAAACAAGAAAATCCACTATCAAATTAGCTACAAGCAAGATAACCAGAAAAGACTTAATAGTTATCCAAGACTATAGTAACCTAACTTAACCACTGGGTCATCAGGGGGAGGACTTCCCTGATGGTCCAGGGGTCAAGAACCTGCCTGCCAGTGCAGAGAACACAGATTCGATCCCAGGTCTGGGAATATCCCACATCTCAAGGGATAACTAAGCCTGTGCACCACAACAAGGTCCAGTTCATGCGTCCTAGATCCTGTGCTCCGAAAGAAGAGAAGCTGCAGTAATGAGACGACCTTGTGCTGAAACTAGAGAGTACACCCCACTGGCCACAACTAGACAAAGCCCGCTTGCAGCACTGAAGATCCAGGGCAGCCAAAAATAAATAAATAAACAGCAACAACAACAAAAGACTAGGCGGAGGGAATTCCCTGGTGGACCAGTAGTTAGGACTTCATGTTTCCACTGCGGGGGGCACAGGTTCGATTCCTGGTGGGGGAACTAAGACCCCACATGTTGTATAGTGCTGCCAAGATAAAATAATAAAATAGACTTAAAAGAATGGGGGAAAAATCATACAAGGCCATATTGTTTTGAAAGAACTTTCAATCTCTTATTCCACTTGAAAGAAATAAACAAAGAGGAAATTTTAGGTGAATTTTGAGGGTGGATTATGCAAGAAAGACAGAGAGAGAACTCTGATCAGGGGATGCAGCCTCAAAGAAAATATCTTGGTTCTACATCAAAAGGTTGACAAGTAAGAGTGCATGACCCCCAAACCCATCCTCTTTAGAATTCTCAGCTTGAACATGGCTGCCCCTATGAAAGACTACATTTCCCAGACCCTTTGCATCAGGATGTGGACAGGTAGTTCAGTTCTGACCAGTGGGGTGTAAGCAGAAGGATCTGCTCAACCAAAGGTATTGTTACCCTCAATGTCCTCCCCTGTCCCCAGCCCCTCCAACTAGCCAGAGTGAACTGCCCTGCATTGAGGGCGTCATCCTAGGAACGGCAGGACAATGAGGAGGAGGATGCCTCGGACACCAGGGTCCACCTTCCCTGTTCAGCACGGCCATGTACGACTGTTATTTGAGAGAAAAGTAATTTCTATGCAGTTGATACTGCTGTTACTTTGGGTCCTGTCCAGTGGCTGGACTGGTATTTAATACACACCAGGAACTTGTTTTGAGTTATAATAAAGTTTCTGGGTTCTCTGCATTATTTACCATTTCCCATTTTAAGCCCCTCCTTCGATTAACCAGAGTGGCCTCAATCACCTAGGATAAGACAGCTGTGGTGAAAAATGCTAGACAACCCCCTACCCCCCCACCCCCACAACCCTCTTTTTCCCTTCTTTCTGCTAATAATAGCACGGGCAGCTCCCAGTCTTCTTTGCAGTTCAAGGCAGCCATGTGACTATGTCCGGCCACTGGGACTCCAGGTTCCAGGGGAGTGGGTGTGGATGGCATCCGAACCTGGGCCTCCAGGCACTGGCGGATGCTCCTCCTCACCCCCTCTGCCTTCCTGCAGCCAGAACCCCAGGGTGCCCTGAGCTAGCTGTGACCACCGAGCTGGCAGCCATGCTCCAAGACAGGGCAGAACTAGGAGGAGCGAGGAACCTGGATCCCTGAAGTGACTGCATGGAACAGGGCTGCCCAGGAGTCCAGCCCAGGACTGTTAAGCGCCTGAGAAATCAACATTTGCCTGACGTCTCTAAATCCAGCGAATCTCCTTGCTTCTACAGCTAGAGAAGGGGTGGAAAACTATAGCCCTGGATTTGCAGGGCAGGAACAGAGTCACAGACATAGAGAACGGACTTGTGGACACAAGTAGGGCAAAGGAGAGAGTGGGTCGGGTTGGGAGAGAGGCACTGACGTATATACACTACCATGTGTAAGATGGATAGCTAACGGGAAGCTGCTATATAACACAGGGAGCTCATCCTGGTGCTGTGATGACCTAGAAGGGTGGGATGGGAGTGAGGGGTTACATGTATACATATAGCTGATTCACGATGTTGTGCAGCAGAAGTTAACACAACACTGTAAAGTAATTATACTCCAATAAAAAAATAATAGAAAAAAAAAAACCAAACCTTACAGTCCCGGAGGGCTGCAACCTATCTTTGTAAATAAAGTTTCATTGGCACATAGCCATGCCTACTTATTCATATACAACCCACGGCTGTTTAGTGCTACAACAGTGGAGCTGAGCACTATGACCTGGACTGTCTGTGGCCTTTCAAGACAAAGTTAAGCCAAGCCCTGGCTTACCCTGTCCCTGCTTCACCTGAGAGCACACGGGAATGGGGTGGCCCCACTCACCTCGTCCAGGATGGCTGTGGGGTTGGGCCGGAGGGCTGGGTGGGGCTGGGTAGGGGTGGTGTCCTCCTCTGAGTCAGAGTCTTCAAGGAGTCTTCTTTTCCTTGATTCCTCCACCAGCGCCCTGCAGGAACGTGGAACATGCTTTTTCAGGGGAACAGTGGCCAGGACCCTCCCCCGCCCCGCCACAATGAGGCACCTGGCTTTCCTTTCCTAGCCTCACTGAGTCAGGGATGGGGGTGCACAAATATTTAAAAAAAAAAAAAAAAGTTCTTTGTCCACTGAATCCAGTGGGGTGGTTAAGCACTTGGAGGCTGGAACCAGCTTGTCTCGATTTGAACCCCAGCTGGGGGACTTCAGTCAGGGCTGTGTGTACGGCTCCTCACATCTCAGTTCCCTTGACCACCGTAATGGTGGGTCCAAACTCAAACTCAGAACAATGCCCATATCCAAATCGGGCTCAGTGAACACAGACTCCTCTCCCTGCTAATCCCGGTCTCACTGACCTGCCAACCCAACAGTACTGGCTGTCCACCTACTATGTGCCCAAACCCCTTCCAGGCCCTGCATGCCGAAGCCAAACTGAGTCCCTGTTCAGATTTTAGGTGAGGAAGGACAGAAGACATATCAGGAAAAGGGTGAATCAGCAAGAAGTTTCCAGAAAGTGGGAGTTGCCCTGCAGAAGCATGGACACAGCAGGCCTGAGGCCGAAGCCTGGAAAGGCTGGCTTGCCAGACCAGCCCTTGGGGACAACTGGACCTGGACTCTTGGGCTCCCGCTACCCTCACTGATGGGAGCCTCCCTGCCCCAACACTATTTGGGCAAACAAGGGGTGCACTCTCCTCCTGGAGTCTGGGGGCTTGGCCAAGCTGGGCAGGTGCCTGCGTGACTGGCCCCCAATGAGAACCCCAAGCTAGATCTCATGAGCCTCCCCAGGGACCACACCTCACTCACGCCATCACGTCTCATTTTGGGGGAATTAAGCCCATATCATGAGAGGCAGAAGACTCTGAAATTTTGTGCCCAATCCCCCAATCCTGCCCCATGCCTTTTCCTGCTGTTGAATTTTTCCCTGTAACTTTTCATTCTAATTAACCACTGAACCTGGGGGTGGTCCTGGGGACCCTGACACAGATGCCACAAGAGAGAAAACAAGATGGGGAGTGGGATGTGGGGAAGGCCTCCCCGAGATGGGAGCCATGCAAAGACTGGGAAGGGGGATTCCACGCAGAGGGAAGGGCACCCCCGGCCTCCTCTGGCCCCACTGTCCCACTCACGCCGTCTCCCGCTCATCCTCCTCCTGCTCCTGCCTCTGCCGCTCCTCCTCTGACAGGCGGTGCTGCCGCAGCATGGCCTCAAAGTCCACGTGGGCCTGCCGCTGGTTCAGGTCTTTGAGCTCTTGCAGGTTCTCCAGGACCTCCATCTCCAGCTTGGAGTCCTTAGTTCTGTTCTCCAGCACCTGGTAGGGACCGGGGCACAGACGTGGAGCTGAGAGCACTGCGACTCAAACCCCTCCGCCACCCCATGTGGCCTGCCTGAACTTAGGGCGTCACCATGGGCAAAGGAAGGACCCCCCAACCCTGGGGCCTGGATCCACAGCGCCTGGTCCCTTCGCTGCACCCACTTCATGGCTCAGAACACTGAGGCTTGGGGAAGGGGAAGAGATTGCCTGAGACCATGTGGCTAGTCAGTACTGGAGCCAGGTGGCCTGGACTTCCAGCCTGGCTCCGTCACTAAGTAAAAATAATTTAAGTTAAAAAAAAAAATGACTCCCTCCATCTAGGACTCTAGACCCAGGTTAAGGGACTCAGGTGATAGGTCAGGCCCATTCTGGGCAATCCCCCTTTCGTTAGGTCATCTGGGCCATAATTTAATCTTAACTTGATCATGGGAGTAAGATCCTTGTATACACAGTCCTGAGACTATGCAGCATGTGTCACCAGGAGGCGGGGGTCTTGGGGACATCTTAGAATTCTACTGACCATTCTCTCCACCCCAACACCCTGCCTGGAGGGTTAAGCAGGAAGGGGAATCGATTCCATCAGCACCCACACACAGGCACACACACACACTCACACACACACACACACACACACACACACACATGCACGCGTGCACAGGTGGTGCCTGACTCACCTTCATGGGGTTGTTCAGCTCCTCGTCCTCCCGCTCCTTCTGTACCCTCTTCTCCTCCTCCTCCAAGAGCTTCTCAGCCTGGAAGTTCCTCGTGGCTCCATGCTCCATGGTGTAGTCTGTGTTTTCAGGGTCTGTCTGGGAGGGAGGACAGGCATACGTCAGCTCCTATGTCTCTGAGCATTAAAAGCTTCTGCTGAACAGTGGCTAGCAGCCTGCAACACCTTCTTTCCCTGTTTCATGACTCTTAACACTGATTCTTTTTCCTGTCTTATTGCTTTGGCGAGTACAGTTCTTTTTTTCCAGTGCTCCTGTCTCTTGTCACAGAATCACTGAACTCCCTAGCATGGATTTTCAGATCCTTCTCCACCTGCTCACTGTCCCTATGCTGACCTTCACCCTCCACATGTTTGCAAATTAGTTTCTGGGTCTCTGCACAAATCTTTTTTTTTTTAAATGTTTTGACCACACAGCATCACATGCAAGATCTTTGTTCCCTGACCAAGGAATGAACCCATGCTCTGTGCAGTGGGAAGTGCAGATTCTTAACCACTGATCCACCAGGGAAGTCCCTGCACAAATCCTTTCTGTATGTGTGTGTGCACACATGTGCACTTGACCTTCCTCTGATTATAAATTACACACTGACTATGTATAAAGCATGGCCCTATTTGTGTTTATAAAATAGAAAAGCAATATATAACATGGTATCCTGGATGAGACTCTGGAACAGAAAAGTGACATTAGTGGAAAAATTGAAATCTGTGTCATATCTGGAATGTGGTTAAAAGAACAATCTAATAATCCAGTGTTGGTTTCTTATTGTGGCAGATACAATGTGGAAATGGAAGAAGTTAACATGAGGGGAAGATGGTGAGGGGCAGATGGGAACTCTCTGCTATCTTTGCAACTTCTCTATAAATCTGAAACTACTCCAGAATAAGATGTTTACTGTTTAAAAGAAAAAGCAAGGAGGAGAGTGATCCTTGTGTGCACCTGTATCCAGAGCACTTTATGTAATCCTAGTTATTTCATCAGTTGAAATTCTTCAACAGAAAAGCCAATTTATAACATTCTGCCACAGCTTTTCTAAACTTTAAAAAATTAAAATGTATTCATTAATATCTAAATATATACATACTTCACAATGTAGGTAAAAAAAAACATTTTTCTGGAGACAACCTAACTGTCTATTAGCTAATGAACAGACAAACAAAATGTGATCCAGCTACACAGCGGAATATGACTCAGCTTTAAAAAGGAGAGAGGCACTGATACTCGCTACAATATTCCTGAACTTTGAAAACATGATGGTTCAGTGAGAGAAGTCAGACACAAAGGGCCACACAGCATGTGATTCCTTGATAGGAAATGTCCAGATAGACAAACCAGAGACACAGAGTGTATTCGTGATTGCCAGGAGCTGGGGGAGGGGATGGAGGTTAATTTGGGGGTGATGAGAATGTTCTCGAATTAGAGAATGCAATTTAGCACATTAGGAATATACTAAAAACCACTGAATTATGCATTTTAAAACAATGATTGTGTGGCATATATAAGCCATATCTTATAAAACTGTGTTTAAAAAGTAAATAATTAAAACATAATTTATAATGTACCTTTTGCTTATTTTAATAAAATCTAATGTTTTAAGAAAAAAGTCTTTGGCAAAAGCATACTCAAACAGCACAGAAGTACGAGGAGAGAAAACTAAGTTTTCTTCATCTCTTTGCCAAATTCTTTTTTTTAACCCTTTAGTTGTAGCATGCAAACTCTTAGTTGTAGCATATGGGATCTAGTTCCCTCACCAGGGATGAAATCCAGGCCCCCTGCATCGGAAGCTTGGAGTTTTAGCCACTGGACCACCAGGGAAGTCCCTCAAGTTCTTAATACCACCCTTAGGATGACAATGAAAGTAAAAATATGACTGCTATCAGCCAAGAAAAATTCCAACTTACAGTAGCCTGTCCATCAAACCTCGTTACTATATACCTAGGTTGCTTCTTGGTTTTCTGCCTTTATAAATAACACTCCTGTGAACTTCTCCTTGAACTTCTGCTGTTTCCTGGGGAGAAGGTGAAATGGGATTTCCCTGGAGGGAGGGGACAGGAGTGGTGACTCCCCAGTGGAGGTGGGACTGGTCTGGGTGGCTGCTTACCTTGAAGGTGATCTCTGCCAGGCAGCGCGTGCACTTGATGTAGAAGCGGAAGATGGGCAGGCCCAGGTAGGACTCATTCTGCACGGTCTCTTTGCGAGCATTGAACTTCTTGCCCTTGTAGATGTATTCTCCACATGTCTTACATCTGTGGGGAGGAACAGGGACTCAAGTCACCTCGGTACCCTGGTTCTTGCTGGTGGGACCCTTGAGCATTCTGGCAGATAACCACTTGCATACCACCAGGGATGGGGAGCTCCCTCCCAACCAAGAAGCCTGTGCCACTGTGAGTAAGGATTCCCCTTAGCTGGCATATTCTTCTCACTAGTATCTGCCTGTCTTCTTGGAAAGCACCCAGATGATGAAAGCTAGGTGAGACTTGCCTGTTTCCCACTCCCAGATGCCAGCCTGGTGTTCATGGGGCATCCTGACCTCCGGAGGGAGGATTCCACTTGGGGGGATGCCACATGAAGCAAGGCAGAGCTCTGGCACTCTGCCCTCCCTCAGCCCCTCCTGCTCAGCCATTGTGCTCCCCAGGCCCAGTGTGCCGGCCCTCTGGCTGTTCCTGCAAACACCCCAGCTTGGTCCCACCTGCGGGCCTTCACCATTGCAATTCCCATAGCCCGTGACAACCAGCAACCCTTAGATTCTAGTTCCACTGGTATTTCTTCTGATATTTCCCTAATCACCCAGCAAAACCCCCTGCCCCCTTCCCCATCACCATCCAGTCACTCTCTTGTGACAATCTGTGTGTCCCACAAATGCTTTTCATGAATATGCCAGAGCACTTGTTTATTATCTCTACTCCTCACCAGACTGGGACTCTGTGGGGCCAAGTCTTGATCCCCCCAGTGTCCCTGGCACTCAACAGTACCCAATAAATGACTGCTGAATAAAAACAAATGCATGAAGGAGAAGGAGAAGACAAGCAGACCAGTAACATGTAAACACGTGCTGAACTTCACTAACAAAGGTGGCTTTGGTTACCACTTCATTTCAGATGTGCAAAGATGTGAAAAACTGTGGGGCTGGGAATTGGTGAGATATGGTCATTACAAGACGGTACAAAGGATGAGGTCTGGGGACTAGTGGCAGGGGAGGGAAGCATAGATGGGGTTGGGTGGGGGATCAGAAGGGTTGTTCTGAGGGGATGAAATTTAAGCCAAGCCTTGGAGGGTGAAAAAGAGCCGACCATATGAGAGCAGAGGGAAGTGTATGCCAAGCAGAGGGAACAGCCTGTGCAAAGGTCCTGGGGCAGGAACAGACAGGGCTGCTGGAGAAAGTGAATGTGTGTACAGGACTCCATCTCACACTCACGCTTCTACTACCAAAGACTGAGCTCTCAGGCACTGGGTGGAAGCTCTGAGCAGTCAGGAAGATTGATCCTCAATGGCAGGAAAGACAGGTCACCCGCTTACTGGGCTCATGTCTGAGTCAGGACTGGTGACCTGGTCTGAGCTCTGGGGACAGGCTGCTCCCTGTGGATGCCGGGCATGGGGTCTGTCCACCACGACGAGTGCAGGGGCCCTGAGGGGTCACTCACCTCATGTTGAAGGGAGCCATCAGCCGCACCACATACTGACGATCTTTGGGCAGCTTGAGCTTGGGAATCTTTGATGGGTCAAAGTCAGGGGGGTAGTATTTCTGTGGGGAGGAACGTAGTGTCAGGGAAGCTGCTTTCAGGTGCAAGGGAGGCCAGAGGCAGAGGGAAGGGGCTCTGGGGAGCTGTGCCTGGGTCACTAATACCACTCCCAGGTTCAGTGAGTTGATGAGAGAACTCCTAGGAGGCTCACACACTTGTACTCATGGCTCCTATTCATCAACAGCAAAAGGACACAGAGGAAAACCAGCAAAGGCAAAAAGGTGCATGAGGCAGGGCCCAGGCAGACCAGGTAGAAGCTCCCAGGGTTTTCTCCTGATGGAGTCAATTCCCCCAATGATAAACTGTGACAACACATGTGAAATGTCTCCCCAGGGAGCTCAGGGGGACACAGCACCCAGGGTTTTCACTAGCGGCTGGTCTGCCCAGTGCATACAATGATTCCAGACTCCAGGAGAGGAGCATATGCTCAGCACAAATCACACTGTTTATACAAACAATTTAAGCACAGGGAGCCATTCTTTTCAGTGAACGGTGAGAACCATCCTGAAACTCAAGTTCCCAGATGCCAGTCCAAGTCCAGCATGGCAAGCTGGCCTTTCTATCTAAGGCAAGCAGCCTCAGGCCTGCAGTATTAACTCTTTCTGCATAGGAGTCTGAGATGGGAGATGTGAGGAAGGAGAGCTTGGATTATGGAAAAAAGAACTACATACGATAACGCAAAAATAAAGCACTTTGCATTCTGAACACTTCCTATGTGCCAGGTACTACACTGTTATTGTTGTTTAGTCACTCAGTCTTGTCTGATTCTTTGTGACCCCACGGACCATAGCCCAACAGGTTACTCTGTCCATAGGATTTCCCAGGCAAGAATACTGGAGTGGGTTGCCATTTCCTTCTCCAGGGGATCTTCCCCACTCAGGGATCGAATCTGCCATCTCCTGCACTGCAGGGGAATTCTTTACTGCTGAGCAAGCGGGGGAGGCCCAGGTACTACACAGAGAGTTTGATGTCCCCTGACTCATGGAATTTTTGCAAAGACTCTATTAAATAGAGAAAGGTGTGCCCATTTCACAGAGGAGGAAGCTGAGTTCCAGTGATTTCAGCTACTCAGGATCACACAGGGTGAAGAGCAGAGCCAGGATTCAGAACCAGGGACATGACTCAGGAAACTGTGGTATAGTGATTAGGAGCATGAGTTGCAGAGCTGGGGGACGGAGTGTCTTGAGTCTGACTACTCTACTCTCTGACTATCACATAACCTCTCTGGGTCTCAGTTTCCTCATCTAAAGGTGGGATAACCTGTCCACCTGAGAAGATCTGATGAATATGACACTTCAAGCAGTGCCTGGAACAGAATTATCTACCAGTAAGTTATGGAAAAAACTGGGCTCTCAGTTGGATCCTCAGGATGGAAGGACCTTCCTGGACTCGAAGTCCAACACATTGCACTGGGGCTGGCTGGGGCTGGAGTCCAAATACAGGTGTTTAAAACATTAGAGCACTGAGTCACAGTAAGGGGCATCAACCTGACCTCGAAAACCTGGGCTCCAAGCCATCAGTCTGGAGATCTGTTCTCTACTTCGTCCTGACATCCTGGGCTTACACACTCCCAGGCTGGGGAGCTCAACCCCCTTGCCGGGAGCACAGACCTTCCTGGAGGGTGGGGAACAGGGACTCTAAATTCCGGAGGACTCTTCTCCAGAAGCTGAACCCTGCCTTTTCAAAACCAACTCCACATCCAAGACTCCCAGTCTTCCCCAACAGAACTGGGAGAAGTTGATGCAATTGGAAGGATCCCCTTGCAACAGAGCAACAGTTAGCAAAGCCTAATCCCTCCAAGGAACTCGCAGGGTTAGAACCCCAAGTGGGGCGGGACTTAACAGAGCCACGCCTCCTGAAGACAGGCGTGTAAGCGCAAAGAACAAGGTCCTAAGGAACCTCCGCCCCCAAGAGACTTATAGGATAATCCCTTTAAAAATCCAATCAGAAGTGATTGGATAAATAGCCTAAGCTCCGCCCACACAGGTGATTGGGTACACTCCAAGGCTTCGCGAAGGCCCACCCTCCCCGGAAAGTGATTGGGAGGAGTCTAGAGAGCCCCGCCCAACGGAAGGCCGTTGGAGAAGACAAAGATTCTAATAGGAGGGTATACACAGCCCCCCTCGACCCGAGCTTCGAGACGTCTCGCCCCAGGTCGAAAACCCTAGTCGCCCAACACTTACGTTTAAAACTTTTCGCTCCGACATCTTCGCCTCCTACTCTTTTCACGAGCACAAGAGTACTGACTACGCTTGGTGCTTGTCGAACTTCCCCTTCTCTCTTCTGTATTTCCGCTTCCGTCACCTCCTTCAGCCGCTATTATTGGCTGCAGCGTACATGCCTTGCCTTTTTCATTGGTTCTGATCCCCGCCTGTCAGCATTCGGTCCATCTATCTTCCCTCCTCAGTGGCAACCTCATCAATGTGCCACAAAGGTTCCGGCGACGTTCTGGATTTGAAATTCTGAGGAGAAGCTTTGCCCCCTAGAGGTCGTCAGGGGACGTGGCTGCTGGCTGCGACATTCCCTATAGTTCTTTTATTCAACAAATAAAGAATTCAGCGTTGAGCGCTTACCCTGTAGACACTACACGTCGTTCCTGTGTCCCTAGCGCTCACCTGGGGACTGGGACTGTTCTCACGGGCCACACAGGCCCCACCCCAAGTTTATCTTGAGTCATCGGCAGAGACTCAAAGACCAGGCTTCAGATCTACCTCCCGCTACATGCACTGGCTCCCAGATGTCCCCTCCATGGTTTGCCGCTGCCTTGTCCTTCTAAAGAGGACGTTCCTCCTCTCACTTCCTCCTTTCCTTTTACAAATGTTTGCTCTGTGTCAAAGATGTACTCAGTCTTTGGGGGCACATCGGAGAACAAGATTTCTGTCCTCATGGAGATCACTGTCTGGTAGGACTGACTGGCAATAAACACACAAAAAACCCATTTGGGTCCTGGTAAGTGATCCAAAGAAAATAAAACAGGGTGACATATGGAAAGTGATGAGAAGGGGCTGCTTGAGATGTATGAGTGTCCTATAACTGCTGTAACAAAGTATCACAGGCTCAATTTTTAAAATTATTTTTTTGTTTGTGCTGGGCCTTCAAAGCTGTTCCGGCTTTCTCTAGCTGTGGTGCGACGGCTTCCCACTGCGATGGCTTCCCTTGTTGCGGAGCATGGGCTCTAGGGTCCATGGGCTTCAGCAGTTGTGGCACTCAGGCTCAGTAGTTGCAGCTCCTAGGCTCTAGAGCACAGGCTCAGTAGTTGTGCTCGGGTTTAGCTGCCCTGCAGCATGTGGGATCTTCCAAGACCAGGGTGTCAAAACTGTGTCCCCTGTATCAGCAGGCGATTTCTAGCCACTTTACCACCAGGGCAGTCCTTAAGCTCATTACTTTAAAACATTTATTAGAGTTTTGGAGATGAGAAGTCTGGAATGGGAATGGGTGGCAAGGCTAGTTCTTTCTGCAGGCTCCAGAAGAGAATCCATTTCCTTGTCTTTTCCAGCTTCCAGATGCTGCCAGAATTCAATGGCTGGTGGTCCTGCATCACTCTCATCTCTGCCACCATTGTCACATCACCTTCTCTGTCTCCCTCTGACCTTCCTGCTTCCCATCAATAAGGACACTTGTGATCATCTTGCAGCCACCTGGATAATCCAGTATAACTCTACTTCATTTTCATTAACTCAATGAAAGGTCCTCAAACGTTCAGTTCAGTTCAGTTCAGTCGCTCAGTCGTGTCCGACTCTTTCCGACCCCATGAATCACAGCATGCTAGGCCTCCCTGTCCATCACCAACTCCCGGAGTTAACTCAAACTCATGTCCATCGAGTTGATGATGCCATTCAGCCATCTCATCCTCTGTCGTCCCCTTCTTCTCCTGCCTTCAATCTTTCCCAGCATCAGGGTGTTTCCCAATGAGTCAGTTCTTCGCATCAGGTGGCCAAAGTATTGGAGTTTCAGCTTCAGCATCAGTCCTTCCAATGAACACCCAGGACTGATCTCCTTTACGATGGAATGGTTGGATCTCCTTTCAGTCCAAGGGACTCTCAAGAGTCTTCTCCAACACCATAGTTCAAAAGCATCAATTCTTCAGCACTCTGCTTTCTTCACAGTCCAACTCTCACATCTGTACATGACCACTGGAAAAACCATAGCCTTGACTAGACGGACCTTTGTTGGCAAAGTAATGTCTCTGCTTTTTAATGTGCTATCTAGGTTGGTCATAACTTTCCTTCCAAGGAGTAAGCATCTTTTAATTTCATGGCTGCAATCATCATCTGCAGTGATTTTGGAGCCCAAAAAAAATAAAGTCTGACACTGTTTACACTGTTTCCCCATCTATTTTTCATGAGGTGATGGGATCAGATGCCATGATCTTAGTTTTCTGAATGTTGAGCTTTAAGCCAACTTTTTCACTCTCCTCTTTCACTTTCATTAAGAGGCTTTTTAGTTCCTCTTCACTTTCTGCCATAAAGGTGGTGTCATCTGCATATCTGAGGATTCTCAATTCTGTTAAATTAATCACAGCTGCAAAGCCCTTTTTGCCATGTAAGGTACCATACTCAAAGGTTCTGGGAGTAAGGACATGGATATCTTTGGGGGAGGGGTCTTTAGTCTTTGCCATAGCTGAGGTGATCAGGGAAGGCTTCTTGGAGGAGGTGACCTTTGAATTGAGAGCCTTGAGTGAAATGTACAGAGAAGTTCCTGGGCTGAGAAAAATCCTTCAGAGCCTGGCTGTGTGACACCCTCCTCAGATAAATCATCCCAGATAAACTTATGTCCCCCTCCAGCAGGGCTCACATCTGGGCAGCTTTTTAAAAAAATTTATTTATTTGGCTGAATCAGGTCTTAATTGTGGCATGAGGGATATTTGCTGCATCATGTGGGATCTTTCCTTGTGATGCAGGAATTCTCTAATTGTGGTGCATGGGCTCAGTAGTTGCAGCACTTGGGTTTAGTTGCTCTGAGGCATGTGGGATCTTAGTTCTCCCACCACGGATGGAACCCACATCCCTGCTGCATTGCAAGGCAGACTCTTAACCACTGGATCACCAGGGAAGTCTCTCTGGGCAGCTTTTTTTTTTTTTTTTTTAGTTCTACCAGTTTATTGCTACCAACCCATCTCCCTCCACCCTCGTGCACACATGCTCAGTCATGTAATCCCATGGACTTCAGCCTGCCAGACTCCTCTGTCCATGGATTTTTCCAGGCAAGAATACTGGAGTGGGTTGCCATTTCCTTCTCCATCTGGGCAGCTTTTGAGTAACTGTATGAAGGAAACTGCTGAACTAAATAAATCCCATCATTCCATCCCAGGCAGAACCCAGATCACCCCTACTCTGCCTCCCCCAGCCCCGTCTCTTCCTCTGGTTCAGCCCTGATCCCACGTGTGGGAGTGGGGACTCAATGTGTGTGTGTGTGTCCTGATCTGTTTCTCCTCCTTGGGGCTCACGTGGATCTGCTGAAGGAAGGAAGAGTCCCAATTCTAGTGACACTGATCCGTTCTAATTAAACAATTGAAAAATCTCATATTCATAGTTCCCAAAGCATTGCACTGTGTCAAAGGACGGAGGGAACACATTCTCATTTCACAGATTGAGAAACTGAGACTCAGAGAGGCAAAGTCACTTTGTCCAAGATTGCCCAGCAACTCGACAGTGGTGAACCCAGGCCAGATAGGTCCCATCCACCCTTAGGTGGATGTCAAGGGCATGGCTCCTCTTCAGGAATGCGGGGAGCCCCTGCTACTTGTAGCAGCAGGGAGACTCCAGGCACTCCATTCCCCGTAGTCGGTGAGGTCCTGAGCGGCCACCTGGATGCAGTACTTGGCTTGAGGCCTCACAGCCTTGAGGGTGAAGGATGTGGCTTCAATTGGCCCCACCTGAGAGCAGAAGCAAGGCTGGGTCAGTGGGAACGAGGATACTCTGTGATCAAGGCTTCTGTCTCCCTGCTCAGGCTGTTGCTCTGGCATTCAGGCACCAATGTCCATTCTAAACAGCATGCCCTCTGTGGCCCCCTCCATGCCTTTGGCCACCTTCAACATCTTGCTGAGCAGGGAAAGACTACCCCTCCAGGGTCAGGCAGTTCTTGGTCAACCAGGAGCGTGCCTTTCATATACAAACCAACTCACCCTGAGTCCACACCCCCACCAATCCCTTTGTCCATCACTTATTCCTTTTCACGGCTGAGTGATGTTCCCATGAGTGGACGGACCACACATTGTGGATCCATCATCTGTTGAGGGCCCTGACATTGTCTCCAGCTTTTGGCCATTGTAAGTAATGCTGCTGTGAACATTCATGTACAAGTATTTGTTCAAGATCCTCTTTTTTATTTTTTCAGGTGGATACTCAGGAGTAGAATTGCTGGGCTGCCTTTTTAAAGAAATATTTATTTATTTTGACTGTGCTGAATCTTAGTTAGAACATGCAAACTCTTAATTGCGGCATGTGGGATCTAGTTCCCTGACCAGGGATTGAACCCTGGGCCCCCTGCATTGGGTGCTCAGAGTCTTAGCAATCAAGTCTTAGCGACTGGATCACCAGGGAAGTCCCTGGGCTGCCTTTATGTCACACACCAGGACCCTAAGCTGTGACCCAGACCCCAGTACACATTTACACATGCTCTTCCCTCTATCCAGGAACCACACCCTTGTCCTCACCTGACGGAAGCGGGTAGCCCCATGACGCTTGTAGCGGATCCGGTACTTGAGGGAGAAGATCTCCGGGAAGGGCCAGGTCCGGGGGGGCTCCCATTGCACCCACAGCTGCTGCCCAGGGAGGGGGCTCAGGCGCACGCCTTCTGGAGGGTCTGGTTTGACTGATGGACAAGCAGGAGGCATGGTCAGCAAAGGGGACATTCATTCATTCATTCATTCATTCAACCAAACAATAATTATTGAGTGTATGGCAATGTTCGGGATGTTGGGACACAGTAGCCCTGTCCTCTTGGAGCCCAGTCCCTTCAGGCAGAAGACAACAGACAAGAGGCAAATCTGAAGGTCATAAAGAGGAAGGAAGAAAGTTCAGGAGTGCAGGGAGGGGAGTGGGTTGCAATATTCTTTGAGACACAATTTACACACCAGAGAACTCCCTCTTTTAAAGTGTATAGTTGTGGTTTTCATATATTCAGAGTGTTGTGTAACCATCACCACTGTTTAACCCAGAACATTTCATCACCCCCCAAAGAAACTCTGACCATATTAGTAGTCACCCTCCATTCCTCACTCCCTAGACCCTGACAACCAGGAACCTACTCTCTGTGTCTGGGGATCTGCCTGTTCTGGACGTTTCCTATCAGTGGAATCACACCCTGTGTGTCCTGCTGTGTCTGTTTCTCTCACTGAGCATCATGTTCTCAGGGTCCGTCCACATGGTAGTGAGTGTCTGGGCTTCTCTGCTTTTTATGGCTGAATGATATTCCAGGGTGTGGATGGACACATTTTGAGAATCCATTCATCAGTTAATGGGCATTTGTGTTGCTTCTGCTTTATGGATAACGCTGCTATGAACATTCATGTACACGTTTTTGTGCTTCCATATCTTTTAGATATATACCTAGGGCTGGAATTTCTGGATTACTCAGTAATTTATGTTTAACTCTTTGAGGGTCTGCCAGACTGCTTTCTAGCAACCACTAACAATGTGTGATGGTTTGCAATTTAAAAAAAAATGCTCAGGGGCGGATTCACTGAGGAGATGACATCTGAGTTGAGACCTATAGGAGGTGAAGGAGTAAATGCAGGTCCAGGGAGGAAGAGCCGTCTAGGCAGAGGGCACAGCATGTGCAAGAGCCCTGGGGCAGGACTGTGCCTGACATGCTGGAGGGACAGTGAGGAGGCCCATGTGGCTGGAGCAGAGTGAGCAAAGGGGAGAGAGGGAGGAGGAAAGGATGGGGAGGGGATGGGGAAGGTCATGCCGGGCACTGTGGGCCATGAGAAGGACTTGGGCTTTCACCTGCAGGGAGGTGGGAGCCCTGGAGGGCTCTGAGCAGTGCAACGATGGGACCAGACTGGAGTGCTCACAGGTGCTCTCTCATGGCTGCTTCAGGAAGGACAGATGGATGTGAGGGCAGGAGTGAGGGAAGGACCGAGATTGGCTGTGCTGGTCCAGGTGGGCGATGATGAAGGCTGGACCAACTAGGGGCTCCAGAGAGGGAGAGGTGGGCTGATTCTTGGTCAACTGTGAAAGTGGATCCCACAGAATCCGTATAGATAAGACAGGATCTCATCCTGACAGGCGGGAGGTGAGCCTGTTTTGGGGGAGGAGTAGGAGGAAGGTGGGGGGCCCTCCACACTCCCACCTCGACCCCTACTCACTGATGTGCTCTGGGACAAAGGGCAAGAAGCTGCTGCTGACACCACCGGGGTGGACAGCGGTGATGTTGAGCACATAGGGCACCATGGAGAACATCTGGACATCGGGGATGATACAGCTGGTGGCTTCTGGTGTCGGCTGGAGGCAGGGCCAGCTTTCCCCATGGGCTGCCACGCCGAGCCTGAACATGGAAGGAGTGCTGTGAGGATCCTAGCACTTCATGCTGGCCCACCTGTGCCCTGACCCCATGTGAGGACAGCAGGTCAGAGTCCTGGTCTTGGCTGTGTGATCCTAGGGGTCCCTCAACCCAACATCACAGACTTGGGTAACCCAGGGTTGGAGGGAACATCCCACTAGGAGGTGCTAGGGTCTGGGCTGTAAAGCTTTCGTCAACATTCCAGCCTTAGAATGCCAACATTCCCAGGTCTATGATTCACAGATTCTGGACTCTGAAATAATGATTCCAACTCTCTTGAGTTCTGGCACCCTTAGATTTCAGACTCTAGAGACTGTGGAGTTTAACACCACTCACAGAACCTTCCACAGCATCCAAAACGTTCTGCTTCTGCAGTGTGGATGTGACTGAAGTGCAGTCAGTGCAACTGAGTGGGACTTTTATCTAATCTACGTATTTCCCTGTTGGCTCAAATGATAAAGAATCTGCCTACTATGCAGGAGACCTATGTTCTAGTGCTGAGTAGGGAAGACCTCCTGAAGAAGGAAATGATAACCCACTCCAGTATTCTTGCCTGGGAAATGCCATGGATAGAGGAGCTTGGCAGGCTGCAGTTCCTGGGTTCACAAAGAGTTGGCTACAACTGAGTGATTAACACTTTCTGCTTTCTTTCTAATCTACATGAAGTTTCTACTTATCAGAAAGCTTGAGAAAGTTTCTCAGAACAACTCAGGTGTATGAATCTACTTTCCCAAACACAAATGTTATGAAATCTAATTAGAGATCAATATTTTCCAGTGAACATTAAGCATCTGAATTGAAATGTGATATATACATAAAGCATCAATGGAATTTCCATGACTTAGTATAACAGGACTGAATGTACAATATCTCATTAATTTTTAAAGTTTTGATGACATGTTGAAATAATGCTTTGGGTAATCCTATTCATGATAATAAATCAATTTCTAGTATAAATTTATAGTATAAATGGAGAAGGAAATGGCAACCCACTCCATTATTCTTGGCTGGAAAATCCCATGGACACAGGAGCCTGGCAGGCTACAGTCCATGGGGTTGCAAAAAGTCAGATATGACTGAGCAACTGAACGTGCATGTTAGTATAAATTTAAATATATGAAATCTATATAAGCATGTTAAAGCACATTACATTCAATATTAGATGGTACATCTAATATTTGAATATTATTTAAATAAAATATTAAAACCAGTATTACCATTTTTTTTAATTTTTCAAATGGGGTTTCTAGGAAATTTTACCCTCCACACATGGCTGACAATATGTATTTTAGGGAGTGTATTTCTAAGGGTTGGTGCTGCTCTAGAATTTCGAGTGTTTCAGGTTCTCGCTAAGTGTTCAGCTACCCTGATCCTAGTGGGTCAGCCCAGTTTTAGACCCCCCAAGCTCTCTGACCTGTACGTAGCAATGAACGATGTGGGCCTGGTGGAGTTCGGAGGAGTGGGCGGCAGGGTCCAGGAGCAGTCTATGGCGACCGGGTACCTGGAGGCCTGGCACCACACTCTGGGCTGGGAGGAAGCTACTGGGTGGCCCGGAGAGAGAGAGAGAGAGTGTGAGCTTCTCATTCACTGGAACTGTCGAAGCCTTACTGTAGCTCACCAGCCCCTACCTTGCTGCCAGCCAGTGCTGGGCACACAGCAGGCACCTAATAAAGGTTTTTAGAATGAATGAGTACATGAATGAAAGGCATTCACATCATCTCCCACACCTTGATACAACCTGCCATGGCAGGAACTATTACTATTAGCCCATTTTCCAGATGGGAAAACTGAGGTTGAAGGAGACACAGAGGGGACCTGGGGGTGGCAGGGACTTCTGGAGGGAGAGAGATGCTTTACTAAACCCCCTCTTTGTGATAGTTTTGTTTTGAATCACATGAAGTGAATGAATACAACTAAAATGTCTCTCTCCGCCAGTCTCCCTCCCTCCAGGCTGTGGCTGCCGCTTCCTGGTCCCCTTGGGGTAGGACTTGCCTCTTTGTGCCTCAGTTTCCCCCATCCATGCAATGGGATGGTAACCCTCTCCCATCAGTGGGCATACAGAAGGCGTGTGGGCTCCACCCCATCCAGAAGATTCCACGGCATACCAATCCAGTCCTCAGACAGTGTCCCTCTGCCAGGACTCCCTCCAACTCCCAGGGTCCACACATACCTTCTCTCTCACGACAGAGTGAGCAGCCCACCCAGAGGCTGACGGCAAAGACCAGGACGAGTCTCAGGGCCATGGCTCTGGCGGGCTCTGCTCTCAGGGGCTGGGGCCAGGAGTACCCTCAGGGAGGCAGGGGACTCAGGTCCCACCCAGGGGAAAGCCCAGCCCCCTTTGGAGGCCCCCTACTTCCTCTTCCCTGTCTGACTCACCGCCCAGTTCCTGGGGCCCTGGAGGAGGAGCCCCCAGTCCCTTCACCGGCCACCACCAGTTTCGGGTGCGGAAGGCCCCGAAGGTGGGGGCAGAGAGAGGAGGCCACAAAAGGGAGAAGTAGTGACCCCGTGGCCTTTCCCAGCAGAGCCTTCCTTCCGGCTTCAGCGAGGAGGGGGAGCCCCCAGGGGAGGGCGGTGATGACAGGGAGACAACAGAGAGGCGGGAATGGGGGGGCACTGAGCAAGACAGACGGACAGACCCGGGTGATGCTGGATCACTCATCTACCACTGAGATGGGGACCCCGCCCCCCGCCAGCTGCACCCCATGCTCCAGGCCACAGAGAGGCAGACACCCAGGTTTTTGGCGGACATCCCCCACTGAGGACATTCGCCGAGGACCTGGAATGCCCAGGGACAGCAAAATGACTGCTGGATGCCGTGGAACCCCAGGGGACAGGCTGGACAGAGGGCTACCTCCCTGCTTGAGCTGGAAAGAGCCAAGAACCCCCAGGGGATTTCAAAAAGTTAGCCCAGGAGCAGGGAGGCGGGGGTGGGACCCTCTGGGGACCCTCCCACCAGGAATGGGTTTCATATGAGAACAGTGAAGTAAGATGTACGACCTCGGATCCTGTCTTCACTTAACATTTGGATATTTTGTTCACCATGAACTTTGGGGCACCCATTCTGACTTTTCAAAATACTGCAGTAACTAGGGGACTTCCCTGGTGGTCCAGTGGTTAGGGTTCCAAGCTTCCAGTGCCGGACACAACTGCAGCTACTTAGCACAGCACACCACAGTGTCCATCTTGGGGACTGAGTCCTGCCTCACTCTCCTCACCCTAATCCCTAATCCCTGCTCTGGGCCACTCCCTCCCCTCCTTGCAGTGGGGCCCAGCAATCAGGTCACACGACATTTTCATCTTCTCCTCTGCTCCATGAGCTTTTATTCCTGGGATAGCGTTTGGGACCAGATGTTGGGGAGAGGACTCAGATTCCCCGGTGGCAGGAGGGGTCGTGGTCAGGGCCGGGGTCTAGACTGCCCAGTGCACGCAGGGACCAGTGGGGCCGGTGGAGGCAGTGAGGACAGTGGGGGAGGGGGCCCAGGCTAGTCTCCAAGCGAGGAAGGTCAGTGCATGAGTCCCCAAGCCCCCGTGAGAGGCCTAGTTGGGCAGAGGGCAGTCCTCTGCTCTCAGCGGCCCTGGGCCTGGAGCCTCTGCATCTGCAGAATCTGACTCAGAATTCGCTGCACGTCTTCATCCATCTGACCCTGAGGAGGGGGCAGGGTGGGAGCGGAGGGAGCCTGGGCATTCTCTCCCCTTCCCCACCCAGTTTCTTCATCCCCCTCCCCCCAGCCCGTTGATCCTCTTCCCTCCACCAGCCTCCCATCCTACAGATAGGGAAACTGAGGCCCAGAGAGCAGCAGTGGTGCCCCCAAAACCAGCGAGGCTCACCTGAATGGCGTAGAGGAGGTGGCTCCTGTACAAGGCCACCACTGCACTGTGGTCCCTGGCAGCCTCCTGTGGGTGTAGGGGAGGGGCGCTCAGAAATGCAGGACCCCCTCCAAGCTATGCCAAAAAGCCCCCTTTGCACCCTGAGCCCCTGTTTTGATGGCACACAACAGCATGGCAGTGCTACTTACTAAAATACTGAACTACTTTCCTCCATGTGCACTGCCTGCCTGCCCGTCACCCTCCAGGGACCTTGTGCCCAATGGGCAGGCGAGGCTCACCTCTAGCTGCTCCCGCAGAGCCTTCACCTGGCCACGGAGGGCTTCCACCTCCAAGGAGTCTGGGGCCGCCAGCTGGTCCTTCAGCGCCTCCTTAAGACTGAAGACCTCCTTGGAGAGCTCCGTGATCTGGGGTGAGGATGGGAGAGTCAGCCGGCACCTGAGCCCAGGGTGGGGACCTGGGGACCTCTCCCGGGCAGCGGGAAGAGCCTCGGACTTCGCGGAAATCACCCTGCAGGCTAAGTCCAGCCCATTAGCTAAGAATGGTTTCTACATATGAAATCATCAGAAGGTGGTCTAGGGGCTAAGAATCCGTGCTCCCAGTGCAGGGGGCCGGGGTTCCATCCCTGGTTGGGGAACTAGATCTGACATGCTGCGACATGCCGCAACCGAAGCTGCATGCTGCTTAGCTGGACGCTGCAAGATCCATGATCCCTGGTGACACAACTAAGCCCAGGCACAGCCAAATAAATAAACGTGCTCAGTCACTCAGTCATGTCCAACTCTTTGTGAGCCCATGGACTGTAGCCTAACAGGCTCCTCTGTTCATGGAATTCTCCAGGCAAGAAAACTGGAGTGGGTTGCCATTACCTCCTCCAGATGATCTTCCTGACCCAGGGATCGAGACCGGGTCTCCTGCATTGTAGGCAGATTCTTTACTGTCTGAGACACCAGAGAAACCCAATAAATATTAAAAAAAAAAATCATCAAGGCAGGAGTAGGAAGTCAAAAGAATATTTTCTGACACATGAAAATTATACCAAATTCACAACTCCATGGTCATATGTAAATTTTTATTTATATGTGGCCATGCCCATTCGCTGTCGAGTCTATGGCCCCTCTTCAGTGGCAGAGCTGACTACTGTGGCTAGGCAGGGCCAAAATCAGTGACCATCTTGCCCTCTGCAGAAAAAGTGTACAGATCTTGGGAGTCTCCAAAAGGTGAAAGTGGAGACAGACAGAACAAGTGGGACAAAAGCTTCTGTCTTTGTGGGGCTGGGTTACTTGGGCCAGGGTTTGGGTCTTTCTCTCCCCTTGCCTAGTGGGAGATCTTGGAAATATGACCTAACTACTTGAAAGCTCAGTTTCCTCATCTGTAAGGTAAGGAGAACCATCGTTCTCACCTTTGTAGGTTGCTGTGACTCTGAACAGAGATTAATTTTAAGCTGTGCCAGCAAACAGCAGACACTCAATGCATGCTGGGCTTTGTTGTTATTTCCGTGGATCAGAGGTTCTCAATCAGGGGTGATCCTATCTCCAGTGGATGCCAGGCAATATCTGGAGGCATCTGTTTGTCAGGATTGGGGGGTCTCCTTGTATCAAGTGGGCAGGGACCAGGGATGCTGCTCCATACCCTATAATACCCAGAATGGTCCCCCACAGAGAATGACCTAGCCCCTGGGACTTCCTTGGTGATCCAGTGGGTAAGTCTCTGAGCTCCCAATGCTGGGGGCCTGGGTTCGATCCCAGGTCAGGGAATTAGATCCCACATTCTGCAACTAAATCCCGCATGCAGTAATGAAAACTGAAGATCTTGTATGTGGCAACTAAGGCCTGGTGCAGTCAAATAAATTTTTAAAAAGAAGAATGTCACTAGTGCTGAGAGGGAAGGACCCTACTATAAATAAACCATAATCCTTATCATAACTTTATCTTCAGTTTACAGAGGTAGAAACTGGGGCTCAGAGAGGTCAAGTGACTTGCCCAGGGACACAGCTGATTGTGGCTAGGTGGCTCTGTATGCAAAAGCACCTGGGACTCTCGTCCACTGTCTCGAAATGTGCTGTGTGGCTCTGAGCCACTCAGTTCACCTCTGGGAGCCTGTTTGCTCATCTGGAAAATTGGATGATTTCCCAAGACCCATTCAGCTGGGACATTCTTAGATTCCTTCCAACACCTGTCAAGTGGGGGACCTCCCGGCAGAGCACAAGGAAGGGGAACCCACCTTCTTGTCCTTCTCCTTGGCCCTCTCCAGGGCCTCCTGGGCACGAATCTGGGCCTGGCGTGCCCGCTCGGCCTCAGTTCGTAGCCCCCGCAGCTGCTGCTCAGCCGTGGCCAGCTGGGCTTCCGCCGCATGTCTCTCACTCTTCATGAACAGTGCCTCCCGCTGCACCTGCAGCCCAAGCCCACATGTGACCATGAGGACATTTGGACCCCAAAGAAGCCTGGACCTACCTTCCAAAATGATCCTACCCTTCCATTGCAATCTTGGGACATTCAAGGCCATTTGATGTCAAGGAATTTGGTTTAGGGGTCCTGGATTCCTGTAGGCACTAGAAACGTTCTGACTCTGCCCAGTTGTGGGTCCTTAGACAAGTGACATGAGCTCCCCGTGCCTCAATCTGCTCATATATAAAAGGACGATAATAAAAACCCCTATGTCACAGGGTGGTTGTGAGGATAAAATGAGCAAATACATGGAAGACACTTAGAACAGTGGTTGGTACACAGTAAGTGTTTGAGTTTGTGACGTTGTTGTTACTGTTATTATTAAAACCATATAATGAATGTTATTGTTACTATTTTTATTACATCATAACTAACATTCTGTTCTCTGCCAGTGTAAAAGTGTGAAAGTGTGTAGATTTCTTACAAAAATGAAGGAAAAACAGACGAATCTGGATGAAAAGTCAACAAATGTCCAAAAATTGTGACTGCATTTTTTTTACAAAAATATCAAGGTTGGAACAGTGTTAGATTTGCAAAAATTGAGCGTGGGTGGATCACTGGCCTTTATAGACATAAAGCTCCAGGGAAAATGGATAATAATTAGATGTTTCACTTAGTACAGACTGGCTACACATTAACAATTAAAAAACAAAACAGAAAAACTAAGTTCGAATCAATTATCCCCAAAATAAGTAGTCATGAGAGAAGGTAAAATTTGGAAAATAAGTATGAAGATGGGCATACTTAAAGTTGGATCGTGAATTCTAAGAAATAGATCAAACTTTACTGGTTTAAAACAGCATGTTCTTGGAAATTCCGTGGCAGTCCAGTGGTTAGGACTCTGTGCTTCCAAAGCAGGAAGCCTGGATTTGATCCCTCATTGGGGAACTAAGATTCCTGCAAGTGGCACAGCCAAAAAAAAAAAAAAAAAACCAAAAGAGTATATTATTGGAAAAAATAATCCTGGTTGC